TGTGTGAAACACAATATATCGACAGATTGTCTGATGTTAAAAATGAAAAATTAGGTTTTATTTCACAAGACCGTAGTTTAGCCATTTCAGCATTGACTTTTGAAGATGGTTTAGGTGGATTAAATGGAAAATAATCTATACATAAGCCCTTGGCTATATTGCTCTACTGCATCCTACATAAAGCATATTACACAGTAAAAACTTTTTAGGANGCATCCTACATAAAGCATATTACACAGTAAATACTTTTTAGGCACATGGTATGCAACATTTTCATATGTTGCACCTTGTGATTTATGAACAGTCAATGCTAATGCCTCAACTAAAGGTAATTGCGTTCTAGTTACCTTCCGATTCTCTGAATTTCCAATTTGAAATTCCAAGTGCGTAATTTCAATAGGTGTCCAGTGAGACCAGTCGTCGGATACTTCTCCTTGAGGGGACAACTTTCCTTTAACTTTTTGTCTTGTAATTGAGCCTACTTCTGGTTCATCAAATTTTATCCACACTCTATGAGCAACTTCTTTACCATTAATAGTTATTGTACGATTGATTTGCATCAGTTCACCAATAGCGCCATTAACAATTCCGTCTTCTGTACAGATATTTGTAACAATCATGTATTTCGCTGTTACCTTCAGTATAAGTGTTTTAGGCAATCCCATAGTTTTTTGCCTTGGAAGTTTCTTTGCAGCAGTAATATCAATTTTTTTTTCTGTTGTATCTATTGCTTCAGATACAAAACTAGTAGTATTTAAACTGTTTAATACTCTCGTATACATATCGTCCACCTCTTTATTCGTTGCCCAAAGATGCATAACTCCAGGTTGAAAACTAATTTCCAACGGTTTTACGAGTTTCATAAAAAAGTCTATATCTTTTTTAATTAATTCTCCCCTTGCTAATTTAGTTAATACTTCAGCAAATTCTTTATCATCTTTTTTATATGTAAATACTAATTTTTGATAATATTAAAACTTAGAAGTGATATAAAAAGTCTAATTGCAGATTTGAAAACATCGCGAATAGTTGATTTAGAATGGTATATTTTTGTTACTGATGAAAGTTCTTTGTAGTTCAGTGCATTTATTTATAGTAACAAACAGTTTTTATTGAAATTTATTGTATCAAGCCCTTTAAATTTTTATACACGTAAAAATAAAGCAAAATACATCTTCTTTATTATTTTTATAATTTCTCCGTTTAAATTACAATATTAAATTATTGAATATCAATTTCATACTTAATTTAATAACTATAATTAGTATTTATTCATATATTATATTCTAAAATCAAAGAACTACTAATCAGGATATAATTAAAGAAATAAGAATTGATGTTGCTTTTGGAATAATCCACCAATTTCTCGAAATGAAACACTATCTACAGATTTGCATCGAAGCGTTTCTTATGATAGTGATTTTAATCACTGTCAATTATCATCTATACTTGTCCCATATATGCCTTGTCTACACTGTGCTAAATTTATTTTTATTTTTTTCCATATATCTAGGAATTTAATAATAAAAAAAAATTGTTTACTTCAAGAAAACGCCTTGTAAATACAGTTAGACACTATTGTTAACTTATTAGAACTAAAAGTTGTGCTTTTAGTTAATCATTAATCACAGAAATATAGTAGCGATGGTAACAAATTTTATTGCTGAATCACAGTTTAAGACGGAAAATAATATTAATTATAATGATATTTAAAGGAAATATTATTGCCGTACAATCTTATAATAAATCCTTGCCATAGTTCTTAAGCAATGGTTTTTTCGATTAATTTTACATTACACACGAATCAGTAACAATTAATAAAATGTACATTTCTAAAACCACTAATTATAAAAATACAATAATAATAACACAGTACATAGGTTAGAACACATTATAAGAATAGATTATATAATCTAAAAGAATAGCTATAAAGAGTTGATATTCAGCTTATATTTGGTTCTTTGATATGGTTGTTAAAATGAATTCAAAATTTTTTCAATTTTTTTTACTTAAAACTGCCATAACTTTTTCAAAAATAAACAAATCAATATAATTTTATTTTATAGATGCTTGATGTTTTTACCTATCATTTGGTATATTTTTTTTTATAAATTTGGCCCTTTACTGCCTGCCCACAAGGGAGGATTTAAAATGACAACTTTTTCACAAAAAATTTTCCTTTTCAACTACTTTTGAAAGTGTTCCGGAAAGTCTGACACTTTTATATATATCTTAAATTAAACCTAATGTAATATATTTTATTATGGAAATAAAAAATTTCGGACTTTATTTTATCTTCGCGGTGAAAATGGCTACCGAATGCTATTTTTGAGTAAAAATTATCGATTTTCTATTTTACATTTTTAATTTTATTATGCATCAACTTTTTGAAAAATTTAAGGATTAATACAATATTTTCATGAGAAGTAGAATTTATATACATCTTTCATTCGACATACTTTATCTTAATTAGGATATTAATAAGGAACTAGCAGATCATGTAGTTTTTGTAGTAATCCACCAATTCTTTAAAATTAAACACTATCTAAAGCTTTGCATCGAAGTGTTTTTTATGATAGTGATTTTAATCACTGTCAGATATCATTATAATTGATTCAACTATGCACGTCACTATTGTACCACGACTCCCCCCCTGTGCTTGGTTTTTTTTTTAGATTTGAACACCCCCTGTATATAGGGAAATGGTCCAATTTAAAAAAAAGTATGTCGCGTGAAAGATGTATATAAATACTACTTCTCATGAAAAAATTGTATTAATCCTTAAATTTTTCAAAAAGTTGATGCATAAAAAAGTTCAAAATGTAAAATACAAAATCGTTAATTTTTACACAAATGTAGCATCCAGTAGTCATTTTCACCGTGAAGACAAAATAATGTCCGAAAGTTTTTTGTTCTATAATAAAGTACATGACATTAGCTTTAATTTAAGAAATATATAAAAGTGTCAGACTTTCAAAAGTTAAGTTGAAAAAGTAAATTTTTTGTGAAAAATTGTCATTTTGAATCCCTCTGTGAGCAGGTAGTAAAGGGTTAAATTTATTAAAAAAAAAATATACCAAATGATAGGTAAAAACATCAAGCATCTATAAATGAAAAATTATATTGATTTGTTTATTTTTGAAAAAGTTATGGCAGCTTTAAATAAAAAAAATTTCGAAAATTTGTAATTTTTTTTGTAGATTTTCCCCATTTACGGGGAACGTGGGAAAACTTTTCAATTTTTAAGGGTAATGTCTTCAGCTAGGTACGATTTGTGATCTTTTGACATATCATTGAAAAAAATCGGTTAGATGAGAGCTGAGAAAAGTTGGTAAGACACAAAAAAAAAATACCTTATAGTAAAATTAATACGATCGCATCGAAACTAATATACGATTTTTGTAAAAAAAATATTTTTGATATTTTAACTTTATAGTGCTATAATTTTTTGAAAAATATATGGATCATTATAATTTTTTATGATAAATACTATTTATAAACCTGTTTCATTTGACATAACATTTTTCTAAATAAAACCATTTCCCTTTAAATATTTATATTATATAAATATATAACACTTATAAATCATAAAACTTGTAATTAGGATATAAATAAGGAAATAGTCATGTAGCTTTTGGAATAATCCACCAATTTTTTAAAATTAACCACTATCTACAGATTTGCATCGAAGCTTTTATGATAGTGATTTTAATCACTGTCAGATATATCATCTATACACGTCACCACTGTGCTGAGTTTTTATCACTTAACTTTACACTAAATTACGAAATATTTAATAGATATAAAGTAATAGAAAAGTATTATCGCAATGATATTATTCTATTTAGTAGGTATATAAATTATTTAAAACTTGTATATTTCAAATATATTAATCTAATTAATATTTCATAATTTTGTCAAGACTTTTAACGTGTTAATGTAATAAAAAAAAATTAAATTTTTAAGTTAATTTAATGAAGTTAGATAGCTCATTACTTATTAAGATGATTAAATTTTTAACTTCGCCAATTATTTTTTTACTTAATTAATTTGTTACTTCAAGTCTATTATAAATTAAAATTGGCTATTTTCATTCTTTGAATTTGCTCAGGGGTTAAATAACTAAATAATTTTATTACTTAAATTTGTATTTAAGATATATATCATATAAGGTATATCTGTAAATATTTCTATTTGTATAATATTAGCTTTTCTAGAGAACAGGGTGAAAAATTATTAATAGAATTCTCAATCAGAAAATATTTTAAAATTTTAAAACAAAATTAACACATGTTGGGATTGGTTTACTCTGAATTAAAAATGTTTTCCTATATCACTTAGAATAAAAAATTAACCTGTGGACATCAAGAAGTAGTCATGCGATAATCAGTGTCAGCGAGACTCTCATCATCACATATATCTAGGCCGCTAACCACCGAAATTTGAGAGTAAAATAAAAAAAATGAAGAAATGGTCAAAATTATTTCTTATTATAAACTTGTATCGGAAATTATGTGGTATGAATGTAAAACAGTGAATTTGTGCACAGGACGAAGTTAGAAGCTATATTGACGCTAATCATAAACATTAAAATATAAAACAATTTATAAGGTTTGAATTTTTATTAATTTATTTTCCATTTGAAGACACAATATATTTTTTGTACAGTATGTACACTTTAACAATCAATAATTGTTGAAAGAATAACAGACATTATTAAAATTTTATTTTTTATAATATACTATTTAGCTTTTAAAATAAAATTATAGTACTAAAAATAAAATAAATTGACAACTGGCTAAAAATTCTTTTACAAATGAAAATAAAAAAAAACATTTATTATGATATGATTTATTTAAATGTTTATATGTATACTATAAACATAATTACATAATCATTAAAATTTATTCTCAAACATTACAAAAATTAACATAAAAATAATATAACCTATATGTACAATACAAATTACAAATAATATTTATGTAAATGACAATTATTTTAAAATTACTGTAGTGATGTTTTGGTTTTTTAGTTATAAATAATAAACAAAACTTATTAAAATAGAAAGTATGATATTAAATTAATAATAATAATGATGATAAAAAATACAATTATAATAATAATAAAAATAATAATTAGCAATATAACATTTTATTTAAATTAAGAAACTAAACAAAAATTATGGCTTTATAATATAAAATTTTACATTAATTATCCATTATACTCAACAAAATTTTTTTAAATTCTATTATTAAAATGTGATGCATTTATAGGAGAAATTTTACCGCATATTGTCACATTTATTCACAATTTAATGTTGCCACGTTTAACCCATTATCAAAACTGTACATAAAATTATGCTTTTAATACTGCTAAGGAATTAATATAACTTTCAATTTTGATTTTATCACTTTAAAATTTAGGGTGTATCTAATCCAGCATACATATTTTTATTAAACGAAATTATAATGTATCAATTGGTTAAATTATAATTTAACATTTAATATATTGTTTTTTTGTTTTAATTACATTTAAGCTTATTTAGGTTTCAACACTATTAAAAACATACACAAGTAAATACACTGTATTCAAAAATTTCCTATTGAAAACAATGTTTTACTTAAAAATTATGTACTACATAATATATAAATCAGATATAAATTATATATATATATATATCATGCAAATTTGATTTTACTATATATATACACACACATTCACACATAAATACTAGGATGGCATAATTATTTTTTCTTGTAGCACATAATTTATGTTGTATATTTATAATGCATTTTTTAAATGTATATATTTCTGTTTATAGGATAAATTTTTCTTAAAATGTTATAAAAAAGTAAATATTATATGAGGTGTACAAAAATATTACACCTCACATAATTTTAATAAACAATAATATTTTAATGTTAAATTATCTGAAATTAAGTGCATAAATAAAAGATCTGATTTTATTAAAAACATTTTTTTTAAAGTAATATATAGTTATTTTAAAAATTATTATTTAATAAAAAAAAAAGAAAAAATTAAGAATACACACAAATTTAATGTAACATAATTATTAAAATATTATAATTAATATACATAAATTAGCAACCGTTCATTCTTAAGTTCAATAACAATAATAATAATACTCAATATTTCTAAAATAATACTGTCAAGAGTTTATCAATTATTTTTATTGTCTAAGAAAAATAAGATCTTGTTTAGCGATTTGAAAATTATTAATACAACACATTTAAAGCTGTAGACATCAGAACTCGATTAACAATAATAGACAAAGTCATATAGTATGACCTACTTCTTAGTTAATTTTTTTTTAATAAATTACTTTACAAAAAATTATATTGGTTACAGAATTATAATAATACATTATTTTTTCAAATGAGACAACAAATAGAATATGATACGAACAATTTCACCAAATTCTGAGGATTTAATTGGTTTTTAAACTAAGTTTATAAATAGATTTTTTTTTTTTAATATTTAATATTTATGAAAAAAGGATAACTTAATGCTGGATTCAGTCTTAAGTTAAGAATTATAACTCTAATGTCCAGTAAAGCTTGGGCTTAACGTGTACACCAATCACATAGGATAATAATAAACTAATATTTTTAAATTCAATTTATGAGTACAAAAAATAAAAAGAAAAAAGAAATCAAAAGTTAATAACGTATTTGTTGATTTAAATCAAATATATCACTAATATGTATATATAAAAATTATATATATATTTATAAATATCGTTGGCAATAATTTTTCATTGGAAATAGTTTAGAAGCAAGTAATTGCCATCACCCCCATGTTACTTAGGAGTATAATATTTGTGGGGATGTTATTCTCCACTGCTACTGAGGTCCATTATGTGGCAATCCTGTTTGATTATTTTGCTATTTTTTTTTAAATTAACAGAACATATCTTGTAAAACTATCAAGTCTATTTTGAATTTAATTCATTTAAAGTATTTCTTACCATTGTCATGGTTGAAAAATGTGGAGCTTGAACAACCATGTGCTGCCCTACTGATAAATGATGTCCAAGTTTAGGACCAACAGTATCTTCTGCTTTTTCTTCTTCTCTTCTTTTAAGACAAGCTGCTTTAGGATTAAGATTACGTTCTGTAAAGTAACATAAATATGTTATAATAGTAATTTTCAACATAATAATTTTGTTATTAGATTATACCTCTAACTTGTTGTTCCAGTGACATGATAACTTCAACAGCCATATTTAAAATTCCTAACTTGGTTTGTGGCTTATCAGTTTTTAAGTGTGTCATGCACATTCTTCCTAGCTCTTTTAATGCTTCATTAATATCACGTATTCGAATTCTAATAATTAAAAGAGTATCATACTATAAATATATAAATATTATATATATATATTACCTATAAAGTAAGTCTAAGATATCAAATTAATTAAAAATTATCAAAATGAAGTAATTTAAAATCAATTCATAATTTATGTTTAATCTACCAAATTATCTACAGCTGTGTACAAGGGGTATGACCGAGCAAATTAACAAAAATGATTGTCATGCTGACAATAATATCATTAGTTATAAATATATTTTTAACATGTTAATTTTATATAATGAATAAATTATTTAGAAAATTAAGGTAAAATAAATTGTACAAAAAATTAACAATAAAATATAAATGGAGCCAAGAGCCGCTTTAAATGGCGGCAAAAAAGCTCACCTTTCCCGAGCATTATTTGCTTGGCGACGCTCCTTTTCTCGTAGTGCTTTTAATTCAGGATCTTCACACTCGTCGTCCACACTTGTACAACAGCAATACGAAAAACAATACAAATAAAAATGCTGGTCCACAACTTATATCAACTTATTAATTACATTAGTAAAAATGTTTTAATAATGATAATTATGAAATGCATTATAAATAAATTTTGTTTGAATTTTTAGAAAAATTCAAAATTTCAATAACTTTTTTTTTAATTAATAAATTACTTTATTAATTATGTTAATTTTGATGATGCTTTTATTAAAATATATTAAATAGAATACTTAATTACCTCTCACGAACATTGTTAGCTTGTCTTCGCTCTTTTTCTCTATGTGCTTTAGTTGATGGATCTTCACCATCTTCATCTGCACTGGAGCAACTAAAATAATTTTATATTTACATAATAGATATATAAATAATTGAATATTAGAGAATTTAATGTAATATGTTAAATGGAATTTTTAATTTTATACATATTTGTCTTTAACTGTATATTCATTTGTTTTGGTAGGTTTGCAAGGTTTTAATTATATTTTTCAGGTTGATAACTGCGCTAATATTCAATATTTTTAATTTTTAAGTACAAATACTTATTCGTTTAAATATTAAAAAAAAAAATAGTTTGTTTTTATTAAGATTTATTTTTTCTAAAAATATTTAAATTCAAATGAAAAAAACCGATGTTTAAGTTAATGTGTGTAATTTATAATTAAGTTAATGCGTTTCGAAAATTGCACATTAAACTTACTATCGGCGGGGTCGTTTTGAGTTTTTAATTAGAGAAGAATTGTCTGGGGGTGAATTGACATTAACGATGTTATTTACTAACAAGTGATCACTACTAGATGGCTTGGTATCTGAACTGTCTGGAGGTTCTTTCCGTTTTTCTAAAAAATAAAAAAATGAAATTAATCTTTAAATGAGATTAACTATAAATAATAAAACATACTTATATTGCTTAATCTTTCAATTTTTATTGGACCATCACTATCTGGGCATGTTGATAGTGTTTGGTATGTATTTGGAATGCCACCAACTGAAGTTGCTGCTGAATGAGGACTTCCCTTAATAATGATAAAAAAAAAAAGTAATAATAAATTTATTAATTAAATAAAATTGTAGGTAAATAAAATTAATAAAGATCACTTACTATGTGTTGATGATATAAAGGTACAATTCCTGCAGCAGAATGTTGAACACCAGCTAAACTTAATGCTTGACTTTCTGCATGGTTTCTCAAAACATTTATAGCATCATCCAGTCTTTCTTCCATTCTACTACCCTGTTAATTACACCACTGATATTAAAGAATGTTAAGTTACAAAATATTAAAAGTTGATAGCCAAAAAAAAAAAAATTGAATTCCATAGAACAGTTTAAATGTAATGCTGACCATTTGATACCCAGTGTTAATTCTTAAGCTAACATACCATATGAATAGCGCGGTGATCAGTAGAAGGAAAATGAGGAGATCCAGGATGAGGTGGTGCTACGCCAGGGGTCCAAGATCCAGCGCTGTTTGTAGGCACCAAAGGTGCTAAAGGTGGTGGTGAATTTACAGGTGTGGATGGATTTGAACTGTAACTACTGACACTCTGATCAGTTGGATAAATCTACAACACATTATTTAAGGTATTTATTTTATTAACATTATAACGCTTCTTAACCGCTGACGTAGAAAAAATGTAAATAAAAGCTTAACAAAGATTTTCAAGAAGTTCTGGAAATTAACTTTATAAAAATTTACTATAGGAACAGGAAAAATTTAATTCTAACTTTTTTAATTATAAGTTTTAAAACATTTAGTTAATTAACTAGGAGTACACGTTATTAATATTTTAACAAAAACAAAATAATTTAAGTAAAATTTTAACTAAGGAACAAGGAGCAATCGTAGTTCATAGAGTTATAGTTTTAGTAGTCATAATAAACTTAGTGTTAGTTTAAGCAAAAAATACCTTCAATGGTAATTTTAAAAGCGTTTTTAAATATTTCAAATCCTAATTATTAATTAAAAGCAAAAATTCAAAAATAATTCTTTTCGTACTGAAGCTAATGCTTTTCCAAGTGTATCACCAGAAGTTTGAATAGTAGGACTGTTATGCCCTGGGTACATCATTGAACTAGGGGTAACTGCGATTGGGCTAGGAGCAGAAGGAGGTGCTCCACGTAGACTTGACATAGGTGGTAAAGGGGAAGTCCCTAGTCCATCAGTTGCAGGTGACACTCCACTAGGAGGTAAATTAGTATTTGGGCCAATTGTATTGTATCCCTGTGAAAAATAAAGATTAATAACATTTTACACAAAATATTTGCTAATTAAAGCTGATGAAATTTAGGAATAAGATTGTTTTGTTATTTAGAATAAACCCTATAAAATAATAGATTTTTTGAATTTAATTATTGAATTAAAAATTATTTTCTAAGTTTCATAATAGATAAAAAAATAAAAAAATATTTTAATTAATTTATTGTACTAGATAATTCCATATGTTTATTATATTACCATTGAAGGTACACATTGGACAAGATATATTTGACACAATGTACAAATATTTTTCAAATTTTATAAAATTAAGAAATAAAAATTTAACATCAGTTCATACCAAATTTTCTGGAGTTAGTATGGCATTTGTTGTAGGAAAATTGTTTGCTGTTATGTTAGGTGATGTACTTAGTAAAGAATTAGTAGGATTTGAATATGTGGTGTATGTTGTGGGGGATTGAAGTTGAGCAGTAGCACTGGTGGTCCAAACATCGCTATTATTTCCAGTACCATCTATAAATAATAAACAAGCAATAAAAATTAAATCTAATATTTAAAATAAGTATATTTGGAAACCTATTAAATTGTATTCATTACCTAGGTAATAGGAGTCAGCAGCATATATAGAAGAACCAGGCTTTTGAGCAGCAAATCGAGCTGGATCGGAAGTGAATTCTTCACTACCATACTAAAACAGAAAATAAATATGATTGCATTTCAAGCTACTTCAATATAGGATATCTCACAATATTTAAGAAAATTCTATATAACTTAAGATTAGAAATGAAAATAATCCTTTTAGATATAAAATAACAAAATTAGTATTTGATGTTGGTATTACTAATTATAAAATAAAAATTAATGTGGGAAACTTCCTAATAACATTTTTTTTACTTAAAACTGCCATAACTTTTTCAAAAATAAACAAATCAAAATAATTTTTTTTTTATGATTTATAATAATGATCCATATATTTTTCAAAAAATTATAGCACTATAAAGTTAAAATATCAAAAATATTTTTTTTACAAAAATCGTATATTAGTTTCGATGCGATCGTATTAATTTTACTATAAGGTATTTTTTTTTTGTGTCTTACCAACTTTTCTCAGCTCTCATCTAACCGATTTTTTTCAACGATATGTCAAAAGATCACAAATCGTACCTAGCTGAAGACATTACCCTTAAAAATTGAAAAGTTTTCCCACGTTCCCCGTAAATGGGGAAAATCTACAAAAAAAATTACAAATTTTCGAAATTTTTTTTATTTAAAGCTGCCATAACTTTTTCAAAAATAAACAAATCAATATAATTTTTCATTTATAGATGCTTGATGTTTTTACCTATCATTTGGTATATTTTTTTTTTAATAAATTTAACCCTTTACTACCTGCTCACAGAGGGATTCAAAATGACAATTTTTCACAAAAAATTTACTTTTTCAACTTAACTTTTGAAAGTCTGACACTTTTATATATTTCTTAAATTAAAGCTAATGTCATGTACTTTATTATAGAACAAAAAACTTTCGGACATTATTTTGTCTTCACGGTGAAAATGACTACTGGATGCTACATTTGTGTAAAAATTAACGATTTTGTATTTTACATTTTTAACTTTATAATGCTATACTTATTGAAAAGTGTATGGATCAACACAATTTTTTTATGAGAAATATTTTTTAATAATCCCTCTTTCATTCGACATAATTTATCTTAATTAGGATATTAATAAAGAAATAGCAGATCATGGAACTTTTGGAATAATCCACCAATTTGTTTAAATTAAACACTATTTAAAGATTTTATTGAAGTGTTTTTTTTTTATAGTGATTTTAATCACTGTCAGATATCATTATACTTGATCCAACTATGCCACTGTGCCGCGACCCCCCTGTGCTGGATTTTATTTGCAGTATTAAATTTAGCTTATTGTCAAAAAAAAAAGTGTAATTATACTACAGTAAAAAAAATTATATTTTCACAATCAGTACTAAATTAAATTAAATAGGGGTTAATTGTAAACTTAAAAGACTAATCTCTCAACTTGTTGCACTATAACTTTTTTAATAATTAATTAAATATTTATTGAGAAAATTTAATTATTTGTATTACTGAGGATACATCATTCTATTAAAGGAAGGTAATAGCAAACTGTTACAGTTAATATGAATTAATTTTTATACATATTTAAATTTGTTTTTGAGCCCTGTAGCGTATTTATGCGCCATTTGAGATTTGGACACAAAGAATTAATCAAACTACTTTCTCTTAGCTATTTAATAATTTACAACCATCTGGCGCCGCGTTAACGAAATCTGATATAACACAATTTTTTTGTATTATTCACATTGCCAAGTTATTAATTCTTTTTTAAAACAGATTTGTTTTTTTCCGATATTACTGGTTAATGATTAGCTGTCCTTGTAGTTTAATTTAAAACGATTGATGGCTAGATGTACTAATGAAATTGTCATAGCAATACAATTTAAAGTCTTTATTGTTTAAGAATATAATAGGAACACAAAATATAATTCGAAATAAGGTTAAATTAGACTAAATTAAAATACTTAATGATGCAAAAATGTATTTACGAAACTTGTATAATGTTGTATTCATATAAACGCAATACATGTAGAATTAATAATAAAATTACTCGCAACAATATTTTAATTAACTACAGCTTTATAATAAATAAAATAAATAAATAAATCCTTAGCATTCCAATTATTATTAGTACTCAATAAATAAAATATTATTTCAGTCAAACGTCACCGTCACGAGTAATATCTTGTAAGATTATGTCTTAGTAGAACAAAGAAAATAAATTATTATTTCTCACGTTTCGTCAACGTCAAAATAATTTATTACAATGTAGGATACAATAATAGGATCCCTTAAAAATTGTTATTTAATATAGGCGTAACACAGCAGGGTTTAATGAAGACATCATAACTTCTGGTAGACATGTGCTGGAAAAACACAAGAGAAATTTAAGATTGTATATTCTTGAATGAAGTCTGAAGTATAAAGATTAGCAAAAAAAAATGATCCATTTAGTAAATTCTACTATTTTCTTCCGGTCGATTATTAGATACTGTTAAAGAACGAAACTATTATACAACATGGCTGTAAATGGTTAAATCTACAGTGTAAAACGAGTTCTACTATGCAAGATATATGCATTAACTACAACAAACGAATGAATGTCCGTAATATAGAGATAGGCATATATATTATTATACAATAGATGAATTTATTAATTGATGTGTGTACAAGGCTGATGCAACGGTGATGACGAGATAAAAAAACAATACTAACAATTCTTATAGCAGGACAATAGGAAACTAGATGGAATTTTGCAATGCATACTATTTGATGACCTTAACCGTCGTGCATCGAGCATTTCTAATATTGTTTTGTGTATATCATGCAAGACAATAACACATACAATATGGATCAAACAGAGAATCCCTGAATGCGTTAAAAATAACCACAATGCATCTTCAAGGAGACTCACGTGAATGGATTATTCTTTTACTAAATGCTAAATATTAACTACATTCACTATTAGTTTCAATACGTATAATATAACTTTAATAGAAACTTGTAAATTTATCTTTTTGTAGGCATTTAATTTTTCCTTTTTGATACTAAAATTATAGAACGAGCTATCAACATAAAAACACAAATCATTCATTGAGTAACGCGACATTTTTAAATTTATTCATAATTTTATTACTTAATGTACATTTCGACAACAATGCCAAAATGAAATATCCGTGAGTTTACTTGAGTTTATTTTTCGTCTCGCAACATTTGAAAACAGCTTATTTGTATTGGTTCATTACTCAGAATGGTTATTTGTTTTAAAAAGAAGCGACCGCCAATATGAAACGGTCACACTGTATTGGGTAGGGCAAAGTAATTAATAAAAATCATTTAACTAAAATAAACTGAATACTATGCTTCTGTCCAGTACTTCAAATTCTCACTCATTATTTTTTTTTGTGGATCCAATAGAGTAATATATCTACAAATAAAACAATTATCCAGTGCTATTTATTAAGGAAAAACGTTCTGTGCCTTAACGACTGATAAAATATAATTGTCACTAAGATCAATTATATAAAAATATATATAAATACATACACTTTTTACAAAACATAAAAAATTAATGTATTTTTCACGATTTTAACTATACGTGTTTTTATATCCATATCCGAGAATTTGCATTTATTTTGATTATTGTGTTTAATGATAAATTATTTCCAAATAAAATATTGAATGAAAAAAATAAAGAACAAAATTTTTTTATTGATTTCATGAATAACCACTGTTCATAACAATGAAAATTACTTAATAAAAGTATTTCTTTCATTTTTTTAATAGAACTTTATTATGTGAAAAAAACAATATTTTTTATCTAAAAATATTTGTTTGGTTATATATAAACGAGAAAAAAGGGGAAGTAAAACAATATACTTTCTACATAAGTATTTAAGGGAAACTTTAAGGGAAATGATCATTGATCATTAATCATTAGATTTTAACTATTTATCTCGAAGCATCACCACAGTAATTCTCATTATTTGTTCACGTACTCGTTCATACGCGTTGTACTCAAGCCTATTCAAATACAAAATGAATGAAATACACGCTTCTGATAGAGTTTCCACATGCAGACTGTTCTTCTCCTTACTTTTGTTCAATCAGATGGTACAACATTTGTCTGTTTTCGCGAAATCGCATAATGAATGAAATAGTAAAAAAAAACGTGTTAGCAGGTTATAGCAGTCATACTAAAAGCGAATTTCAGATTTATCCAAAATAATCGTAAAGTGCTTTAATCAACTTTTGTTATATTGATTACAATAATTTAATAAAATAAAAAGTTGCCACAGTGGTAAATAAAAGCATTCAAGGATGAAAAATCGAATCTAATTATCAAACAGATAATTTTAGATAAAAACATATCCAGTCTTAGGATATAGATACTAGAAATAATGGCGATGAGTAATAACTATTAGCATCACTGAACACAAATGAGGTTGTTGATTGATACAAAATAAAAATTAAAAAATATTTAATCACAAAAACGAAAAAAATAATAGACGTAACATTAAAGGCACGAGTTCAGAGTATGAGTATAATCAAACAAACGAATATGTATGCAAGTTAAAAAAAAGTTAAAAAGACACATTTATTTAAATGTAAGTAGACTTAGCTTAGCAAAGAAGGGGAAAAAATCAAGCATGTTTTGGAGGCGCGGTGGGTAGGAGACCATTGTTGTGAGGATGCAGGCAGGTGTGTTTTATAACATCTGCCAACTGGTTTGGCTCACCTTACAAATAATATAATCAACAATAAAGACCTACTTATAACTACACCATACACTATATTCTGTTTAACTGCTGTTATTTCGTATACATTCAATAAAAAGTTTTCTAATTCGGCCACAAATTCAAAACTACGATTTACAAGCACACTTTTTAATGCAGTCACCATGTGCAACAATAAGCGTACAAAACGCTTTTGCAGTTTTTCACCTAACATATCACCGCGACATACACATACCAATTATGTACGCCTACGCCAATAATTTTAACTAAAAATTCATTAACGAACGCACATAATAAATAAGTTTTAATACATCGAGTTAATAGTGAATTATACATGAATCAACTAAAATCTCTTTTGATCGCATAACTCGAATTAGTAAAAAATAGACAATTACGTGATCGTAAGTAAGTCACATTTATTTATACCCGAGTACTTATTGTAATAATAAACAAAGATATCAAAACGTGTATGGTGATGAACCCTGACAGGAAACGCTGAGTAAATACATGCAATACACAATAATTTTGTCGCGGATTAAAACTACAGTCTCGGATCGTACCAACAAGTGGATTAACGGAAGTAAAACAAAACTAACAGGCGTCGATACAAGTGACATCAGTATTACCTGCTGGTGATGATGAAGGTGCGATTTGGTATCGTCAGAGGATGAATAAGAAGAGACTTGACGACCAACGACCACGTCTGTGGAAGCGATGACACCGTCAGTGTTTTCATAAGGTTTGTACCCATAACCGTCGAGTTGGGTCAACGCTAAAAGACCAATACTGCCACCATCCATGTGGTGCACGTCCGTAGAACTACCGGCACTACCGTTTAGAGTAACTATGGGCGTCGTTCGAGTATCCGGTTTAACGTCAACTTCGAGCTTTATCGGGTTGCCGTACGATGCGGCACCGGCCGACAAATGCAAATAGAAATACGGATCACTGCCACCGTTGCTACCGCACGACGACGTTTCTTCTTCTCTGGACCGATAATGGTGCATGTCAAAGGGTGGCCTTCACACCACCCTCAGAGGATGTAAGACGTGTTCCGAACAGGAAACAATACTCACAGATGGTCGGAAGACAAACGCAACAACGGCGGCACGTGAGCGAATGCGAGATGCAAGACGGCTTATGGACGAATACGCACACATACACAAACTGCCGGGAATAGACTACCACTGCTACGGCTTCGGCGTGTCCATTGTCACAGTCGGTAGTCGTCACACTGAAACCAACGTCGCGGCGGCCAATGCAAAGAGCAACAGGCTAAATGGTACTATACGTGCCCACCACTGGGCCCCGCGACGAGTCGCGTGTATCGTAGTAGTAGTACCGCATCACTACCACTAACTCTTCCAAACGCCAACGCCCCCTCCTCCTTTAATATTGCTGCGGCATCAGTACACGCGACCACTACTACACACTACACCATTCGCAACAGCAACAAGATAGCTGTATGCAGTAAACCATTGACGGCAGCATTGTTGCCAACCGCAATCGTTGCCGGAGATACTAATAACTCCGTTAAAAATAAAAAACAATGATTTTTTTTCATCTGAGCGAACAATATAGAAGTTTTTTTCAAACAATGACGCGTCTAATGAGACTTATTATAAATAATTATTATTCTATTAAAAAACACAATACTTTTCATACACTTTGACACTAGAATCTAACAATTTACTAAAATAACGTCAACTAAAATATACTAATCATAGAACGACAATGATTATAGCAAGTTGATGATTTATTGTACGAGTAAACGAGAATAAGACAAAATGAAATGCTCATTTTACAGTAAATAGAGAAACATTTCAATGACACTAAAGCCGCCCCTATTCTTCAAGATGTGGAAACTTAATAGTGTTAGTGAAGGAGTCGATGAGTGTGATAACAGCCCGCATTTCATGTCGACATGAAACATCCACTAAGGTGACAGTTCGTATTACCGCAGGTTCCGGTCAGGGATACCTTACAGGCTACAACATTGTGGTTGATATGGCTCTGTAGGAATACGTTAGTGAGAAGAAAGAAAATTTAAGGGGAAGGTAAATACTACGGACTTTCTTAAAGACATGTTGTTGGGACAAAACTATTTTGAAGATACTTCGTTAAAATTATATGAACCGTCTAAGAACCTTTGTTCTGTATAGCGCTTATGAAGAGGTTGGATGAGCCGCGGGTTGTCGAGATGTGGACAAATCATGACGACGACGACGGTGCAACAATCTGAACGGTTTACATGCACAAGAGTACTGGCTGCTGCGGCAGCAGCATAGGTTCCACCTACATGGGATGCCACTTTGCCAGATGTTACAAAACTACTAAACACGCACACACGCATTTCTACTACCATTGCCGCGCCGGCGGCTGGGTCCTTTCTTCACCATGCCGCTATGGTGCATACACAAATCATAAAACTGCACAAACGGTGTACATACAAAACACCACCAGTAATGTGCTGTTGGACCCGAACAAGTTTCGCTGGGTGCACGACAGATACAATACGGGTCGCCATAACTCTCAGATAAAGTCACTGACATTGACCATGAAATTTACGTTATAAAATACTACAAAATTAATATGTTCACAAAGAAAACAATTATTTGCCAAAATATAAACACCTAAGAAACAATGAAACAATAACATTCCTGTTACGGCAATCCAATATTATTTTAATCATATTTTAATTTTTCGATTGTATTAGACAATTTCCAACTCATTATGTAGTTATATTAGATGTATAAATAAAATAATATACGGGTTAATACGAAACAAAAATCATGCTAATGTTATCTGAACAGCATACGGGTCGCAGAATAAATTACCAAAACAACTGTAGAATATGGAAACGGTTTTAAACGGCAGCGGATATACGATTAATTTTCAAGATTTTACTCATATTATGACACATCAACGTGATCACATAGGTTTTAATACACTCACTATAACGTGACGTAACGCTTTCAAATTTTATATTCAAAATACAAATAAAAATTGAATTTTAGTAAAATGTTTCACAATACTAAAAGTTTTAGTAATAAATTTTAAATAATATTAAAGATATATATTACATAGGATGTTCAACTATGCCTAATGCAATAAAACATAATAAATTTTACTTTGCAGAAGTTAATAGTAACCTATACAATAAAACTATCAAAAAATTTGGTCTTACCCCTCTATCCTTTAAAATAGTACCACCTTAAGTTTTTAAATTAGAAATACATGTTTAATGACTGGTCAATAACAACTTTTGAACTCGTATTTTTGAAGTTATTAACATTTTACAATAGTGATTTGTTAATTTTTAACTAGGCATTTATGAACCGCACTAATCCCATGAACTAGTATAAAAGTACTAATATCTTTTTTAATGTTCAAAGGTTTTCTTATTTATTAATAATTAATTTATTAGTTACATAAATTAATAATTTAAAAAATTCAAACTAATACTATTTAAAAGGAGAGCCAATTTTTTTTTTTTAATTCTAAAATATAGTACTATAATACAACTATAGTCACAATGAGAATTTAAATAATTATTCTATTTATGCCTGTGTACATGATAAAAATAACTTCATTTGTTGATGTTTTAAGTTTTTAAAGTTTAGACAATCATTCAATTTACTTGATTAGAAAAAGAAAGTTCTAAAAATTAATTTTTGTAAAAATACTTATCATCACATTCAAGTTTTCCATTAAAATATTAAAGATTACAACTACATAATAAAAATTACAACTACAATTTTATTAAGCAAAGTTGTGATAAAATTTATTTCAATAATTTCTACCAACATTTCTTTTATTGTATAAATAATATATTAACGTTGCAAACTAAATATATGGTACTTGGATAGATTTTTCAAATAAAATAATACCATAATATTTATTTACCATGATTTAAATTTTAAATATAGTACTACAAATTTATGACAAAATTGGTATATAACTCATGTAATCATGGTAATTGAATATATATACAGAGTGATTCATCAAGGATGAGACACTCATTTTCTTGGAAACAATTGAAAATTTTTAATTTAGAGTAAAGAAAAATATTGTTTGATTTAAAAAACACTACAATATTATATAGTTAAATAATTTTTTTTTCATCCCTTTAGGGATAAAAAGCCTTAACATTAATTTTTTTTAATTAAAACTCGTATTTTTATTTTGATAATATGATAGAATAAAAGTTTACAAACAATTTATTTCTTATTGTTTTTTTATCCGATCAATTGTCTATATGTTTCTTCAATGTATTAAAATTAGTGTTTTTAAACAAAATTTCTATTGATATTCTACTGTTTTGTATTCAGAAGTTGTTGATGACATTAATAATATTATTATATTATATAAGAGTTGATTAATAAAATAAGAGGAAGTATAGGTGTTACGTCAATCGTAGATAAGATGAAAGAAAATAGACTTAGATGGTTTGGTCATGTTATGAGGTAAGAGAAATCGAAAGTGGTAAGAACAGTTATAGAAATGAATGTTGAAGGAAAAAGAGCTGGAGGAAGACCAAAAAAGCGATGGAGGGCTGTAATTGAATGCGATATGAGGACGGCTGATGTGAGCGTAGATGATGTAGGTGAACGTGTCAAGTGGAAGTTTAGGATAATAATTATTTAAAAAACAAAAGGTTGATCAAATAAAAAAATTTGTTTGTACATTTTTTTCAATCATATTATCAATATAAAAATAAGAGTTATCATTTAAGAAAATTAATATTAAGGTTTTTCATTCCTTAAGGGAATGAAAAATGTACTATTTTAAATAGTTTTAGAAAATAAATGTCTTAATTATTATTATTAATTAAATTATTTATTTAAAAACCTAAATTATGAATTAAATCAGCACTCATTATTTATGTTAGTTAACTATATTTAAAATTAATTTATTGAAAAATAAACTTACCCAGTGATGAGGAACTTCAACTTCTGATGGTTCTGCTGGAGGTGAGTCTATGCTCTGTCAAATGAAAAACCAGATAAAATGTATTGAATTTAAATGTATATACTAATGTAATAAATAATAATGAATTCTTAAATAAAATAAAAAAATTAACGACATTTTATTTTTTTAGAAATAAATTTAAGAAACAAATACTTTGGATATGAGAAATAATAATGAACAATGGTAGCCGAGTATGAGATGCAGACGAAGTACATAATACATGTACTATAAAATATGTCTATATATACTCTACATGTCGAAGACAAAAATAGGTAGGTGAAAAGAAAATAAAGACTTGACTTTATACAAAAAGCCATACAACGACAGCCGAGTACTAAGACTGATGAATGATTTGAAGCTTAAAGCTACGTACTCGAATGGACTGACCAAATCCTTTGGGTATAAATAGTCTTAGGATTGCTAATTTTGTAATTATTATTTTTTATTGTCAATTCATCAGTCACTAGTAGCAGATACACTTTCTGTAATTTACTTATAATTTTTAAAATGATAGTAACATGACACTATCACATAAACTTTTTATTTTTTAATTAAATCAATTAAGTTATATCAATTTCAATAGTTCAAAAAAAAACTTAGAATTATAACATCAAATATTATTTGGAAATATTAAAACAAACAATTACTTGATTATTTATTAATGATTTATAAAAATTAATAGCCAATCTTTAATCATTAGCTAATTTTTAACATTAAATAAGATACTAGTGTGATAATAATATTTCAAAAAATTCTAGTGGCTACATTGAAATTATACTTAGTATTTCCAATAAGACTAATACAAGTAAATATAGAAAATTCACGTTACACATATAAGAGGTCTTTTGTAAAATAATTGAAAAAACACATTTTCTACTTAAAATATTTAATTAAAGCACAAAAGTAATTTTAAATTTTATACAAATATGAATCTTATAATAACATTTAAAGGAAAGACATTTACCTCTCTTTTTCTTTTTACTGCTGTGCCAGCTGTAGTAGTAGGTAGAGGTTTTCGTGGAGTATTGCTAAAAGGAAAGTATGGCGAATCTGGACTAAAAGTTTCAGGACCAGAAGTAAAATTATTTCCATAGGCCTGCAATTTAAAAATTAAGTTAATCCCAAACAAAAACTTTGTTTTGTTACATTTTTTCTTTACATATATTTGGAATTTGTATATATAACATAACACTAATGAAATATTTATAAGTATACTTTTAACCGTTTGAATTAAAAAATTTTATATTGTTATAGACCCCTTTATAATCAACAGTTTTAGAAAAAATAATCAATACTGAAAAATACATAAAAAAATTGTAATTAAAAAAATAAAATACACTTTGAAGTTTGTAATTAGAACATTAAAATATGTTTGTGAGTAACCCGAATAAAGAAAAAATTTGTACTTGGTTGTTCATTTAATTATGTCAAATTAATAATGTATAATGAAAATTATTGAATGTATTATACACCAGTTTAAATTAATTATAACAATATTGAAAAAACATATACAATTTTTTATTATGAACAAAGAAACTTTATAGATAATTGTAGTTTTTATATATTATCACTAGTATAGGCCAAAACTGTTTTTAGAACAGAATAATTATATCCAACTAGTGTGATATTATAAATAAAAACATATTTATACAGAAGTTTCAATTTTAATAATTGTATTATAATACTAAAAACTAAGTTTTTTAATTAGTAAAAATATAAAAAATTAAAAAGTACAATGCATTGTAATAATAAATTATTACTTCTACTACATGCTTTAAAATCTATATCAATTTAGCACTATTTAATAACTAGAAAACAAGAAATAAACTTACCATTCCATTTTCCATGTTATATGGTGGTTGAAACCCTCCTTTTTCTAGAAATTAAAATTTTTTTAATGAATTTAAAATTATAACTGCAATAAAATATCAGTAAAAAGGGGCATCCACAAAATAAAAAATGAGTAAACAATAGCTATAATTGAATTTTTTTTATTTTTTTGAAGTTTAATCAATTGATTATTCAACATATAAAATTTTAAATAATTTAAGTCTTTTATAAATAATATGAAAACTTAAACTTATAGATTCATAAAATTATAATTTATTATTCATAATAATAAATAACACATTATCCTAAAATAAAAATTATGGGTTTTTTTACACACGTTTATTTTTTTAGTTTATACTTGTTGTTTGCTATTTATTCAAAACTCTTTAAAATATACAACAATTTTTTTAAGATGGATAATGAAAATATCATCAAATTTAAAATACCAGGATAGGACTTTTACAATGTCAGAGAATTAAGTATATTTAAAAAACATGGACAATTGATCTTTTTTTTTCTAAAAAATTATAGAGAATGGTAACAAAAAAAAATTCACAGGAAATATCAAAAAACATACAATATATATTTCTTTGAAGATTAAGAAAATCGTGTGTGCATAAAATAAACAAAACAAAAAACGATTGTAGCATTATTTTTTAGGATTTCTTTAAATTTTCATTAAGTTAATTATTTAAGAAGCACTCGACTGTACTAACAGTACTTTAAATATAGCAGATACATCAAGAAAAAGTCAATAGTTTAAGTTAAAATAATTTCAAGATGAAAAAATAAAAACTAAATGATTGAAAATGTGAGATGATGACAGTAAGTCATGTTTAATTTGATACCTTATTAACATCAGGACAACTACATGACAATATTATAATGTACTAACCTGGTTGCTTATTTGCAATCTTGTTGAAGCAGTTTTGAAATACCTCGTACAAATGCATTGGTTCATCGTCACTTGTCGCCATTTTGGGTTTCATAAAATATTTTATAAGTCCATTGGTTTGAAAACATAACATGAACTTTTATAAAATACAAAGGAACGACGGGACCGCGTAAACAATGTTAATGTATGACATGGTACCTATGGAAAGCGTCAGATGTCAGATCGTATCATGCTATCCGTAACCACGGTGCAAAAAACATAAAACCTAATAACCCTTAGCACGGCGCTATCCCTGCTCGTGTTGCTGCTGCTTGTCGCTTGAGAGAAACAACAGCGGCTGCGGAGAGGGAGATTTTTGTTGGCAAAGAGAAGAGTAGTGGTGTCGAAAATCCCTCCGCGCTTACATCGCCCCACCATAAACACGCACGCATCGAGAAAATGACGCAGTGCATGCACACTAGAACCATGGCCATTTTTTCAATGTGACCGTACATGATCTTCTGCCTTTTACACACACCGAATTCGATAAAACTGTGTATACACTGTAATATCAATGAAGCAAAAAAACGTTCCAAAATAAAATTCATAACTATTTGAAAGATATTCTTTAGAAAATTGCCAACATTGAATAAGAAATGTCTAAATATTTTAGAATAAAAACGCAAATTTTTATTATAAAAACTGATAATTATATGATAGTACCGTATTTTTGGGGTTCATTAATTTTTTTATTTATGTTTATCGTAATAGTGAATATTTCATTTGGATGTTTCGACTTTCACTACAAACGCTATAAGCAATGGTGTAGCTCAAATTGTTGTAAGGAGAATGAAGATGTTTTTATATTAATTTAAGATGTAAATTATATTTGATGACTTTTTTACTTGAAATCCAATTTTAAATAAATAGTTCCATCGTTTTATGAATTTCGGTAGAATAGTAACTTCTTGAATATATCGACGACTCCTAAAGATTTTTTTTTTTTAAAGATATATTTTATTAGAATTTGTATAATTTTCAAAATCACGTTTTATAAAATTGTACAGTTAAACTTTAATTATTTAGGATAAATTAAATTTCTAATATTCGGTACATAAATGTACTGTATCAGTAACGTACTGTGGTTTCTTTATCAACAACAAAGAAAAATTTCAGAGATTTTTTAAGGTGATATTTGGCTTGAAATGTTGATCTAGTCCAGCCAATGAGGAGGCTTAGACCTTTTAGCTATGATTACGTTCCTCTACATAAGACGTTCACGATTTTAAGTATTCAATAAACATTTAATGACATATTTAACCAATCACTATAAAGAAATAAAATTTATTAAATGGGAATATTAAGTACTTTTATAATAAAAATTTAAAGGCTTGCAAACTTGTCACAAATCTGATCCACAAATTGAACTATAAGATTTCAAATTACTAGATTAAAATTCTTGAAATCTAATATCAATAGTAAGCAATTTAAGGATTTTATTGATACATTTTTTTTTATACAAATAAAATAAATTTAATTTTATCTTGCCACATACAAGTTTCATTTAGAATAACTATGTTATCATTCTTCTTTATTATCATAATAAACGACTGATCATTAAACTTTTCTCTTCGTAATATTAAAATTTAAATTACTTATTTTTACATACTTTACATTTTAACAATTCTCAAAATCCTATCGTAATATGCCTTTAGAAAATACTATAGACTCACTAAATAGTTTGTCAATATTAGAGGAAGATGGTAAGATTTATATGTTAAGTACAATAAAAATTAAATTACAATAAAATTAAAAAATAATTATTTTATATATCTAATAATTACTAAATTATTTTTAGATTATCTAACTCAGTTTTTAAAATTCAGTGAAACTGATAAAGGTATATTTTCACAACTCAATGTTGAAGAACAAATAGTCAAGCTAAATAAAGGTAATAAGCTTTATTTTATTTGTCCTTACAATCTTTGAAATTTTGAAAATTTTACAACTAAATTATGTCATGAAATATTATATTATTTATTTATTCTGTAATAAAATATTACTTTTATGCATGATTGCAACTGTGTGTCCAGCAATAAGCTAACTAGTGATTAATTAACAAATAATAATAAATTTATCCAGTTTAACTTCAATATTAATTTAAAGTTACTAAAATATTCTCATATTAAAAATTTTACTAACATACATAATATGTATCAATAAATATTTAAAAATTTACTAAAGTATTTCTATTTCAGGACTTGAACATGTCGAAACATTAATATGTAATCAAGTTTTTAAAAATCATGAAGAATTATTGAATCAAGTTACATGGATAGAAAATTTAGAATCGATTATTAATAATATAGCATCTCAATTACAGGTAATTTAATTTAAAGACTAATTATGATCATAGACATAAATAGTATGTTGAATTTAGGGGTGCTTAAGTTACCTTCTTTTTATTAATATACTAATAAACTATTGTGTATAAACATTACATACATAATTTTTTTTCACATCTATAATATTTTAATTATAATTTTTGAAACTAATACAAATTACTATGTTTAAAGTGAAATACACAAATTACACAATGACATTACAGACTCACAATATTAAAATTTCAAAAGAAAAGTATTTATACAATAATATAAGGAATTATTTTTTTCCTAAAATTTTTAAAAGAATAGTGAAATCCTTGATGGGTGGTATTAGCACCCCCTAATTAGCCCATAATTATGATAATAACAAGTTTAATAATGATGTATAATAATTTAAATTTTAATTGACTAAGGTTTTTTGTCATCTTCTTCTTCCTCCTCCTCGCCTTAATCCCAACTACTTGGGGTCGGCCACCCTTATCCTAAACTTCCACTTGATACGATCACCCACATCATCTACGCTCACATCAGCCGTCCTCATATTGCATTCAATTACATCCCTCCATCTCTTTTTTGGTCTTCCTCCAGCTCTTTTTCCTTCAACATTCATTTCTATAACTGTTCTTACTACTTTCGATTCCTCTTACCTCATAACATGACCAAACCATCAAAGTCTATTTTCTTTCATCTTATCTACGATTGACACTACACCTATACTCCCTCCTATATGCTCGTTCTTTATTCTATTTTCTCCAGTTACTCCACTCATCCATCTAAGCATTCTCATCTCTGCTACACTCATTCTCTACTTTCTTATCAACCACTCAACACTCTGTACCATACATTATAGCTGACCTTATTACAGTCTTGTAGAATTTACCTTTCAGCCTCATTGGAATTCTTTTATCGCATAAGATGCTTCTCTCCACTTCAACCACCCGCACTTAATCCTATGTCTTATATCCTCGTCAATACCACCGCTCTTTTGCACAACTAACCTATATACTAAAACTTTCCACCTCTCCAATCACGTCTTCGCCTATTGTCACTGATCTCCTCATTTCACATACTTCGTGTTCTCCTTTGTCAAACTCGTACTCTATATACTCTGTCTTACTTCTACTTATTCTTAAACCCTTTTCTTCAAAAGCTGATCTCCACACCTCTATCCTTTCATTAATTTCCTTCCTATTTTCTCCTATTAACAATATATTGTCAGCAAACAACATGCACCACGGCACCTCTCCTTTTATTTCTCTAGTAATTTCATCCATCACTATCGAGAAAAATAAGGGCTTAAAGCAGAACTTTGGTGCACTCCTTCTCTTACTCCTCCTACGCTTTTTATCCTGGTACAAGTGCCATCATACTTTAAGGTTTTTTTTGTATTTTTTGTATTTTTTTTAGAATTTACAATCATCTGTGGAACTTTTAAAAAGTAAAATAGTGGAATTATATGCAAAAGTTCAAACACAAGTTGTAATTTTGAATCGACTTCATACCACTTGTGATTTATTAAGAAAAATTATGAGAATTCAAAATTTGTCAAGTAATGCACTAGGTAAAGAAAATACATTGTCACAGAATATTATTTTTGAAATAAGTAAGTATGTTTCAAGTATAAAATACTGTAAGTGTAATGTATAAATCATTTTAGAATTATATTTTTGCTTTAAATTTCTAGTGTTTCTAGATTTTATTAAAGTTTAACTTTTAATATCACTAATACTTTATACTCATAAAATAAAATAATGCAATATGTTTTACATTTTGAAAGATTAAAGCTTAGTCTAACACATTATTTATCTAATATTTTACTATATTACTTATTCAACCCGCAAAAATGAAATATTGTAAATCGCTTGATTGTACAGTGACTAACAGTAATTAAATTTCTTGTAATTCTTTTACTTTTGTTCATAGCATAATTACAAGTTACCTTCAAGATACTAAAAAACTCATAGTTAAGTTACTATTTTTTAGTTTAAAGGACTTAGAAAAATTATTTATGTTAACTTATTCACTTATTCAGGGCTGCCTTAAAGCTAAAACTATGAGGGGTCATGAAAATATAATTTTTACTGACTAAAAAATATTCTTTTATTTGTGTAACCTTTTTTTTTTTTGTTTTAGCAGTTTTATATAATTAAAAATTAATAGCTTAAATGATTAAACATAGCAGAGTGAAAATGTGACGCTCTTGTACTCTTCCCTTGGGAAAACCTTAATTTTTCATTTTTTTACCCTTTTCTTAGTATAACTATTCAAAATAAATATATTACCAATAAAAAAAGATAAAAATTATTTTTTTTAAACTGTTAAATTATTTATTTTTTTAACCATTCAATTCTTTGTTTTTTTTTTTTTAGAAGAACTTCTTGAAGATAAAGACTTAAAATGTATTACATTTATGAGTAAAGATCTAACTAAACTAAGTAATATTTATGAAAAAGTATTGTTATCATAAATATATGAATATTTTACTAATTACTTCTATATTACATGGTTATTTATGTATCAATAATTGTTAAATATTTTCAAATGTATATTTATTTATTGATTTTTATGTGATAAATATTATAATGTAAAAGTATTTATTTTTATTATAGAGTATTATTTTATCTAGCAAATTAATTTTTTATCAGATCTGGAGAAAAGTTACCTTATATAAATTAAAAAAAGTAAATTACAGTAGGCATCCAGTTAAATTGAGTTTAGATATTTATCATCATCATCTATTAAAGGCAATGCCTTATCGTTAAAGCTATTCCTCACCGTTTGACACCAAATTCTTCAGTTAAGATATTGTTAGATGCATATTGATTAATATTTAGTGATTAAAATTTCTGCTGTACAATGTTTTTGTTTAATATTTAAGAAATATTGGAAAAAAAACTGAATCAAAGTGAAACATTTCTTTTAGGTTCAATCTTTATAGTGTTTATGAAATCTTTTATGGTAATTACTTCAATAAAATTTAGAAATTTAAAATGTTAAGTATTAGAAGAGTCATATAGAAGTTAAATTTTTAGGAGAGAAATTTTTGGGGGTTAAGCCACCTAACTTCCCTCACCCTACGCCAATGAGTATAAGTTTTTTTCTTTAATTTTTGACCAATTTTTTATTGATAATTCGATGTTTAGCATAAAGGAAGTGCCGAAGCTAGGTTCTACAAAAATTTAAATTGTAGTGCTCCTATGTACTGTTTTTTTCGTTTGGAAGTGGTAATAAAATTTTTTCTTGAGTACATCAAAAAATAGTCCCCTAACTACGCCAACGTTATGTGCAAAGCTCCCAGAAGCGCAGCAAGAAACGCGCCCTAATCGCACCTACCTTACACAGGCACTACATATATTAGTTTTTATTTCATTCTGTTGCACAAATAAGTTTTTTTAACAATTCTTGTTATCATATTTATTATGATAGCAAGAAAAAATACCGATTATAATTTATGGCCCGTTGAAAAATATAACTGTTACCTCCGGTTTTATTAAAACCAATTTACAGATAATTTTTATTAAAAATTCAAATCTTTAAACAATTTTTTAACACAATCGGTTATCGGGTAAAAAAAAGAAAAGAACAGAGTTTTTTGTCATTTTTTTACTGTCATACCGTGAAACTAAAATAGGGAATTCCATTAAAGTAAATTAAAATTTAGGTTTTTAAGCTTCAAAGGATGAAAAATCAAATTATTTAACCACATATAATTGTATTTTTTTGAATCAAACAAAATATTTTTTTTAAATAGTTTATGATTAGATAAGAGTCTAAACCATAATATATCACTCTGTAAAAGCAGCGAGAAAAAAAAGAACCAAGTAAGTTGTGCTAAAATTAATAACAAATATAAAAACAATTTAAAAAAAACATAACTTGATTTCTCCTCTCTTTAAGGATACTAATGTAAAAATTTAATATTTTTAAAATAAATTGTGAGGCGCTTCTCACAATTGAGGGGAAAATTAACTGACTGTAAAAAATGTTGGTGCTGATCCCCAATTTGACATTAGATTTTTTCCATCAAATCTAGTTTTTTTGGATGATTACTAATTAATTAAACAATTAAATCATTATAAAAACTGAAAATATGATAATTTGTAAGATATTAAAAATTTTTCTTTTTTTCTTATTAGACAACAAATAACTATGAAATATATACAAAGGTATTCAAAAATTAAGTTTCCTTGTGTTTGGAAAAAAATATAAAAAACTAGTTTTAGGCTATGAAAATAAATTTATTGTATTCTTTGACTCTTAAACTACTTTTAGTAGCCTTGAACTTCAATACACTTTTAGTATATGCTTGCAAGCTTATATAAAACTTCCTTAAAAAAAGTAGTACCCTGTTTTTTAAACCACGATATAACGATCATCTCAATTTGTTCAATTAAAGCGAAGTGCTGGCCACCCAATGAGGCCGAGCGTTGTCATGAAAAAGCACGACTTTTTTTGACAATTTTCCAGAGCGTTTTCGTCTAATGGCATTTCTGAGTTTATTTAGCACAATATCGATGGACATTAATTGTGGTACTTGGCTAAAGAAAATCGACCAACAAAGCACTTAACTTATCCCAAAAAATCATGGTCATAGCTTTCCCCCCATGTTGCTGAATTTTCGCCTAATTCGGAGCACTTTCTTCCAAATCATGCTTTAACATTTCATTTCGGGATTCTTATGGGAACCCACGTTACATCTCCTGTCATAATGCGTAAGTAAAGATCATCGCCTTTATTCTAAAGCATTTCAAAAAAATGTTGAGCGCCGTGAAGTCGTTGTTTGTGGTTATTGGAAAGTAGACGTGGGACCTATCTCACACAAACTTTACTGTAACCAAACATTTAAGACTATATTGTATGGATTGAAGGTCGGTGAATTCAACATTTAGTAGAATTTATTATTTCCAAAATATATTCAATAGTTCATTGTGTGTCCTGAATAATTTTTGCAACCACTGCGATGACATCTTCCGTAATGGCGGTTTTTGGGCATTCTGCACGTTACTCATTGTGTACTTCTGTGCTTCCTTGGAAAAAATCTGTAAGCCATCTTCACACCATTTGCACACTCATATAATCATTTTTTTAATAGGATATACGATAAACAATAATCTCTGTTTTCGTATTTTTTTTTAATCCAATGAATAACCTACAGAAAGGGTTTGAAGACTTACCACAAATGCATGCAAATTTCATTAAAAATATTTTTTAATTTTAATAAACATATAATTTAATATTTATGTGATCTTCAAAATTTATAGAAATTGTAAAATTACAAATATACAAATTATTGGTAAATTTAACAGTTTCGCATCAAAGTGTTATTTATGTAGTGATGTTAAACTGTATATTTTACAGCTATGCCGCGTCCCCACTAGGCTCAGTTTTTTTATTTAATCTAAGATATTTATAATTTTCGTACTAATGCACTTTAAAATATACAAAATTACAATGCATTATTAATAGGATATATGTTAACGTATCAAAAACGACGTTTATGTACCCGCAAACCTAGATATTAGTTATAGATACTAGCTTCCCTGACTTGTAGATTGAAAACTACGAGAGAAATCTTCAACCCATCAAAATTACTATTTTTTTTGTAATATATATAATAATGCATCGCAATATAATTTTATTGATATTAGAAATTTAGAATTGTAATCGTGGAAGCACTGTTAACGTTACACACCGATTTTCACCGTTGTAACACAAAACGTTATCAAAGAATATGGTACAATGTTTTTATTATTGTTTTTTTCTCGCGCTAGTGTACACTTGAATTTATATATATGTACTAAACTTACGCATAGACTATAGCAGTACGTCGCATTCGCCATGGTGTTGTAGTGCTGTGAAGCCGTAAGCCCCTGAAATGACTAATTGTAAAGAAGGCTGCCTCAGTGCAAATTGCGTTTTGTAAAACTAGACCAATTTTATTTTTCAAAAATCGTTCCATGATTTTCCTACGGCATGGCAGATTAAGGAGCATGTTCTGTTTCGTGTTGTAATCTGGATAAAGTCACTACTAATTTTATCATGAGGTGAGTGCCCTACCCATTTTCTTAAAAGCTGAATGATAAAAATGTGCATTTATTAGATAGTGATGAATTATTAGAATCATTTCAACGATGATAATTTCATTTAATATGATTTAATTTATTAAAGTGTCATACAACCCTAGTAAACATTTAGAATGTCTAGGATATGTTATCAATTTTTCTTTTTGATACTGTTATATAAAATATTTTCTCACGCGTTATATTATTGTAATTATTATTTTTGATGGTAAAATTTACTCGTGTTATTTGTTAATTTTTACTTATTTCTAAAAATTGAAATATGTACTTTAAAATACCTGCTACTGTTATCATTAAAATGGCTTAAAATGATATAAGATTAATTTTAATATTGACAACAAAAATGTTATTGTTACTTTGATTCTGTCAATTTTTAAAAGTTCCTTATTCTTAATGATCTCAATATTATTATTATTTTATTGTAATAAGAATGAAATAATTCTTACCAATATGATATTTATTTAAAAAAATTAATTTTTGTTTATACTTGAGTAGTCCTTATTTTTTAAACTCGGAAAATTAATGGTCTTATGTTCAAAATTATTTATATATATATATTATATATGAAAATGAATCATAAAAAATTTCAGGTCAATTTATAATGTTTAGTTTAACTCATTAATCACATATTCTTTATTATATTTGATAAACGTTTAGAAACATATTAACATGATAATGTTCATAATTTAATTTACTAAAATTAATTTCATATAGTCAACTGTTTGTTAGATATATTAAGTATATTAATACTCAATGTATATTTATACAAAGTATATAAAATTAACATTTTTATAAATTTATGTTTAATCAACTTCTGAACTATAAAATAATTTATCTAAAAGAATAACGAAAAAAAAATTATTTTTGGACTATTATTTTAATTTTCTTAAAACTTTAATATAATAATTCAATTGAAGTACAGGTATCTATTTTTATCTCTGTGCATTAATAATGAACTGCACTACTCTTTTTTTTGTTTTAAAAATGCTAACATCTTTTAAAATACTAGTTCAAAAAAATATTAGCTGTTCATTTTCTTAGATAGATCATTTTCTAGTTTGTTAAATATGTGTTTACATTTATAAATCTGAAATTAATAAATTTAAGGGAAAACTAGGATAGGACCAACTAAGAATTCTTGTTCTTTCACAGATGTTAAATTTAACAACACGTTAATTATAGAAAAAAAACTAATAGCCTCATAAGAGGAAGAGTGCGGACAGGAAATGTTTAGTTATAAAAATAGCAGCGATCACTTTTCACCTTCATACATTACATTAAATTGTTAATAACTACTGAAATAGTGGTTTAAAAGATGTTATTAACCAGTCATTTATTTAACTAGATTATTATCTATTAAATAAACTAGTTAATTAGGAGTATTGCCATTTGAAAAATTAGAGTTGACACCCTTAAAGTATAAGGGATGAACATATAAAGAATTTTATGATTGAAAAATTGAGAAAAAAACAAATAGATAAATTATTAATATTATTTTTATTTTTTGAATAATTAAGTAGGCCATAATAAATAAATTGCACTGTATATACAGGATAGTTCATAATTTTTTGATATTCAAATAACTTTTGATCTTCAAAAAGAAAAACAATTTAATTTTAATTTTTTCTTATTAAAAACAAATAATAAAATTTATTCTTTTAATATAGTTCAAAACTGAAAAGAAAATTTAAACAAAAGTTAATTAAAAAAATTTGCAGGATTAAAAGTTATTTGATTTGTCAAATCATCATCAAATATTTTGTGTTATTTTTTTTGAACAGTTATATTTATATAAATAACATAATATAATTCACATTAAAAACATTTTTCTAAAACATTGTAGTATTGGCTTTTAATTAATGAAAATTAATATACATTATAATTTAATGGATAATTATTTATTATTTAACACTTGAAATTATTCTTATAATTGACAAAATCATCATTCTACTTTATAAAAAAAAAACATATTTATGATGTTTGTTTTTTGTTTATATAATTTTTTTTGTTACGTGTATCACTCACTAGCCTCAGCTCATAACAATAAATATTTGGATTGAATATATACTTCTAATGAGCTAAACAGGAAGTTATTGTTGTAAAAAAACAAAAAATTTTGTATGTTCTACACAAATAAATTTATTATCATTATTTAAAAATCATATCATATAACCAAATTTGTATTTATCTTAAAATTTATTACAAAATAATTTTTTTCTTAATAGTTTTTTGTGAAAGTGGTATTAATTTTTGTTGTAAATAGTTATATTTTTTAATATTAAAATTTAAACATATCAATTTCATTAATAACTTTTTTTTTTGTAATGGATGCATTAATATTTTTTTTTGTTAAATCAATTTTCAAAAAAATATGACTGACTGTTTAATAAAATATATACCCTTTGTACTATTATTATTATTTTTAAATTTAATAAAGTATCAATTTTTTGCTAAGACATTAAGTTTGAATCTCTTGATGTGTAAAGGTTCTACAATATAAAAAGTCAAAAGATGCAAAAAAAAAATCTGTTAGATTATATTGATATGGTAAATAATTGATAAACACTTGTGGTAGCATTAGATATTTTAGGACCCAATGTAAAAATGTTTTTTTGGGGTCCTTTTTAACATTTTTGAAAAAACGAACAAAGAGCTTTATTTTGCTTCTTATTTACGTATTTTAGGAGCTTTTAAATGCAAAGCTTTTTCAGGACTAGGCAAGTGTATTGTGCCTTTGCCATTCTGTTAGTCCTAAAATAGAAATTTATCATAGACTATTTATTTTCTTTTCATTTATTTTAGTGAGACAAGTATTGCATCGGCTAGAGCCTCTGTGATGATCTATGATGATAGTAGTAAAAAATGGATACCTAGCGGAACTTCATCAGGTCTTAGTAAAGTTCACATTTTTAAACATATGATTAATAATACATTCCGAGTAGTAGGACGTAAACTACAAGACCATGAGGTAAATAAATTAAATCTTTTTTTAATATTAGTGATATTTTTAATTTGTTTTAAATTTAGGTTGTTATTAATTGTGTAATTTTAAAAACCCTTAAATATAATCAAGCAACTACTACATTCCATCAATGGAGAGATAACAAACATGTATATGGTTTAAATTTTAGTAGCAAAGAAGATGCTGATGCTTTTGCACGTGCCATGGTTTACGCTCTTGAGGTAAATTTTTTAGTTAAGTTTTAGCTATCAGTGAGGTGGACATAATGCCCATGCACTCAGACCTGTTGGTCCATTGTGCCCACCTCATACCAAATTGTCTTGATTCACTTTACACACCCAAGTATAATAACATTATACCTATCATTGTATAAAGGTCGGACTATCAAGTCACCTCCTGTGGATGTCCAAGGAGTCCTGTCTTTCTGGAAAGTTAAATATCTTACTCTGAGTCTTAGGTTTTTGATATCTTCTTTTCGATAAAAGGTTTAATCAAGTAATTTGATCTTAATAAGGCTTCACATTCACATAGTATGTGAAATGAGTCTTCTTCTACTTTACACTTCTTGCACAATGGTGATTCCGAGACCTCCATTGCATAAAGATGATTAAACAAGTAATCATGTCCTATTAGTCAAAGTGCTTATTTGATGTCTAGTCATGCTATTAAGATCACCCAGCAGTAGACCGGGGTCTTGATAAACATTTTAGATTGTCTAGGTAGTACCAAGTACTTCCAGATTTTCCTGTGTTATTCTCTGCACTAATTCTTGGGTAGCACTTTGAGCGATTTCTCAGTGTGTCCTACCATTGGTTCTGACTCAACATAGGTGTTCTCTGCTCCTTTCCTAGCTAGAAAATCAGCCTTTTTATTTCCAGTAACATCATTGTGTCCTGGTACAAATGCTAGTGTAATTTTGTTGAACCTCGAAAGTGATTCTAAAGTTTCCTTGCATTCAAGGACAAGCTTTGAATTCACTTGGTCGTTACAGAGTGCTTTCAGAGCCAGTTGACTATCATTTAAGATAGTTATTTTCCTTTTCTTGTATACCAGCAGGTTATGAGCCGCTTCCAGTATTGCCATCACCTCTACTTGGAAAACCGAAGGTGTTGTTCCCATTGACATTTCATCTACCTTTCCTGATTTTTTGGATTCATCATGGTGATTAATATTCCATTCTCTATGTGTAGTGATTTCCACCTTTTTAGGGAATGGTATTCTTAAGAACCGGTTTCATATAGTCCAAAGGGTATTCCAAAAAGCCCTGGTCTATCTCTTTTAGTATTTTACCGTGTTCTGCTGTGTTGGCTCATCATAGTACAGATACCTAAATTTTGGAATGTTTGTGCTGTGGCTTTGGTGTGAGCTTTAACCTTTAGATGCAAAGGAGGTAATCCAATTAGTGGATTTAATGCAACTATTGGTGTAGTTCTGTAATACTCCAGTGATAGCTATGGCAGTCATTCTCTGTGTGTGACTAAGTTCTTTTCTGGCCGTAACAAGTGTTGTTTATATTAGATCATAGGTTTAATCACTGAAGTGTACAGCCAATGCATAACTCTTGGTTTAAGACCCCACGCTCTTGAGGTATATGTTATTTATGATTAATATATATATATATATATATATATATATAATTAAATGTTTTTTTTAAAGTCTCAGTATTTCTAAACATACAAATCATGCTTCTAGGTTTTAGATTCTGTTTCTAGAAGTAATATTGGTGTTTCTCTGAATCAAATACCACCACCTGCACCTCCAGTTTATCAGCAGATAAATGGACATTATGAAGAAGACATGGGTTATAGGTTTGTATCAAATTTACTTATTTATTATGATATTATCTAATTTTTTATTTAAATATCAGAGATTGGTGTACAAATAATGTACCTAATCATTTCAGAACCATGACAAAAGATGACGTTGCCATAATTCAAGAAAGACGAATGTCTCAACAAAATCAAGGTAGGTTTTTCACAATAAGTAATCATTTATAATTATAATTCTTTAAATCAATATTATATGATGTAAAATTTATAAATATAATTAACAAGAATTGAAAATAAAACCTTATTATATATTTTTTTTGGATGATGAAGTTTTTTTAAATTTGTGTGATTGTAAAAAAACTTTAAAACCGAGAGACAATTTTATGACATATTAGACAATGAAAATTCGATAACACCAATTTTTGATGTGAACATCTATAGCCGGGGGGTAAAAAAAATTTTGGCGTGGCGACGCGTCGCCACGCTATATATGTAAGCAACATTTCTCTACTGAAGCGCTAATGAAAAACAAAAAGACTTACACGTCTTAGAAAAAAGACTTATACTTTTACACGTCATTCATCACAATTTATCCGAAGAGAAGTCACCTCTACAATTATTTTTTACTGGGCCAGCTGGATGCGAATAAACCTTTGTGATAAAATTGATAATGGAAATATATAATAGATTTTCTGATAACGATGGGTTCTGCAATTCATACATTACGTGTGCTTCGACTGGTAAAGCTGCTGTAGCCATTAATGGAACCACTGTTCATACTGCATTGAAAATATCGTTATCAAAACTAATTCCGTTGTCAATAGAAATAGCACAGCAATATCGATGCTTATTTAAACATGTCAAAGTTTTAATAATTGACGAAATCAGTATGATAGGTGGCGAGCTCTTAAACGAGATAGACGCAATATTAAAGCAAATAACTGGGAATTTTTATGAAAATTTTGGTGGCCTAGACATTATTTTGATTGGAGATTTGCGACAATTACGTCCAGTTCGTGCAACTCCAATCTATAAGCAGTCAAAACAACGGATGGTTGGACCCTTACTTTGGCGAGGATTAAAATTCTACGAACTAATTCAAATAATGCGTCAAGATAACAAAATGTTTTCTTCTATTCTCACAAATATTGGCAGTGGTATTATTTTAAATGATGATGAATTGGGCGTAATCGAGTCTAGATTTTTTACAAAAGAAGAAGTCTCACGGCGGTGTCTAAGCTGTGTACGATTATTCCATGATAATGCCTCAGTTAACGCATATAATATATTAGCTTTACAAACTGAAAATAAAATAACTTCTATTGCAATAGATATTATTTCAGGTTGTTCTAATCATGAGCAGGAAGCAAGTATGAGACAAAAATTACACAAAATGTCTGTGATAGATACAAGACGTTTGCCATACGAAATCATTTTTGTTATTGGAAAGCCCTATATTATTACAACTAATATTGACGTGGTAGACGGATTATCTAACGGTGCCGTTGGAAAGCTGGTTCATATAGAACAAAATTAAGAAAATCAAGTTACTCGTGTATGGCTTGTTTTTCCAGATAAAACACTGGTGTGGTGGCTAGAAGAAAAGCCTCTGCTTTCGTTGCAGAATATCATATCAACAGACGTGCTGTACCTGTTGGACGTCGAACCTCAAGGGTATCACTCAATAATAATAAAACTATTGTAGGTAAACGAAATCATTTTCCATTGATATCAGGATGTGCCATGACTATTCATAAGTCTCAAGGGGGTACTTATGACGAGGTGGTCTATGAGTATAGTAGAAGTCATTGTATTCCATTACTTTACGTAGCTTTAACACGAGTAACAAGTGTTGAAGGATTGTTTATATGTAACAGTCAGGATGATCTAAGATTTTATCATGGAAGAAAAGTTGATCCATCCGTTTTAAGTTTACAAGAAGAATTTAAAAGATTATCGTTAAATAAACTTACTACAATGCAAAAAGTAATCACTGATTTTATAAGCTCCAGAAACAAATTAACCATATATACTTTAAACTGTCAAAGTCTTAGAAAACATATTCCTGATTTACAAGATTCTATTTGTCGAAATAGTAATTTTTTATTACTAACCGAAACGTGGCTTCCTACAGATGAATCAGTTGACGTACCCAATTTTCATTGCATAGCTAAATTTAAACGACAAAATTTTAGAGCCCCTGGAGTTGCCATTTATAAAAACAAAAACACTTCAAATATTAATACTTTAAACATAGATCTAGCAGTTCAAAATGCTACAGAAGTTCATGTCTCCCAATCATCCATTGGCGATATATGTGTTTCGCATGTTACGCTAGAAAATGGAAGTGAATTAATTTTAGTAGTTCTGTACATTTCACCTAATAAAAAAATAAGTGATATCATTTCATTTTTACATGATAGATTATTTGCTTATAGTCACAGAGGGTCAATAATTTTTAAAACCAACAAAGGTGAACTACCATTGATTTTAGCTGGGGATTTTATAGTAACTCAAAATAAAAGGAAAAATTATTATGAAGATTTTTATTAATAATTAAAGAATAATTTATTAAAATTATTTATATTGGTTGGTATTGTATGAGCATGAGAATAATTGTGTTATTATAATATTTATTGAATAAAGAAAATGATATAATATAATTTTCTCTCGGGATATGAGTACGAGGATATATGAGAAGGTGTAAAATATAGAAAAGCAAAGCNCGACAAAATTTTAGAGCCCCTGGAGTTGCCATTTATAAAAACAAAAACACTTCAAATATTAATACTTTAAACATAGATCTAGCAGTTCAAAATGCTACAGAAGTTCATGTCTCCCAATCATCCATTGGCGATATATGTGTTTCGCATGTTACGCTAGAAAATGGAAGTGAATTAATTTTAGTAGTTCTGTACATTTCACCTAATAAAAAAATAAGTGATATCATTTCATTTTTACATGATAGATTATTTGCTTATAGTCACAGAGGGTCAATAATTTTTAAAACCAACAAAGGTGAACTACCATTGATTTTAGCTGGGGATTTTATAGTAACTCAAAATAAAAGGAAAAATTATTATGAAGATTTTTATTAATAATTAAAGAATAATTTATTAAAATTATTTATATTGGTTGGTATTGTATGAGCATGAGAATAATTGAGTTATTATAATTTGTATTGAATAAAGAAAATGATATAATATAATTTTCTCTCGGGATATGAGTACGAGGATATATGAGAAGGTGTAAAATATAGAAAAGCAAAGTGATGTTTGAAAATTTATTAATATAATAATAATTTTAAATAGAAATTATTGTGATTAATTATCACACATAGATCATCAACAACGCCACTCGTACCAGTAGTTATCTAGGCATGTGCTGACTGTGAGTCGAGTCAATAAAAACATCGAGTAGTATAGGAACCACAAGTGGGTTCTCCATCTTCGCAAGAGAGTCTTTATTAGTATTGACTACACAGGTAACCCACTCAAAGATTAGACTAGGCTGGCTAATTTCGTACAAACGTTATTAATTCTCTTTATTTATTTAGACAATATTTTATTCTAGAGATCACTTAACTTTTTCTGGTTTCCTACTTTATTTATGTACTCATTATATTTACTTTAAACCTTATGGATCTTTTGTAGAATATGAATTTACCTTTTTAGACATATTTCTTGGAATAGTTTAAAATATTGACATGAATAATATTTTTAATTTGATGACTAATAGGTAATAACATATAGACTACTGAATAATGAGTGGTGTATGTATTATAACAATATAATATTCATGAAAGTCAGTGTATTCCCCTAATAAGATATTTTAAAATAAAATAAAATACAAAACCCAGAATTTTAATTAAAAAAATTGCATATTTTTGAATACGGTAGCCATTTGCGCATAGAAAATAGGTCGTAGGGACAAATTTTTTTTTTAAATTCTATAGTACATGACATAAGCTTCAATTTGATATATATTTCAAGGACGCAGTATTTCCGGAATATTTTCAAAAGTCAAGTTGAAAAAGTTAGTTTTTGTAAAAAAGTTGCTATTTGGAAAAGATGAATCATTGCCATTAATTACGTTTCTCCAAGAAGAGTTTCAATTGTAAATTAACAACAATCCCAGAGAACCTACTACTAGATACGGAACAACAATGGATGCTGTATTTATAAGACATCTTGATGATGTTATGTCAAATACTGACACGGCCCGCGTCGCTTCATTATACACGATGCTCCGCGACTCGTGCCACCTTTATCAGCCGTCGCCCTACTATGAGTATTTGACTGACCAACGCCGCGTGTTATACGCTACGGTGCAAAGTTCAGCAAATGCTGCACGGCCGACGACGACCCGCCGCAATTGATACGGGAGTCTTCTCCCCGTTGTGAAAGCGACAGCGTCGACCAACCGATCCGCACCCGCGTACCGTCGCCTACAACGCTGCTAACCTTTTGTCGCCCATCACGACATCACGTCGTCGACGCCAGCGAAAGTGCCGCGATATTATGCGAAGATTATTATTACTGTGTTTATCTTTTCGGTTTGTTTTATTTTTGTCAAAATAATCTGTTGTCGCTCATTTAATAAACGGCCCACGGGTCTCTACCCTCAAAACCAATGTCGACCACATTTTTGCGACGTAAGTCGTGTCAATACTTTTGTTACATACTTCAGTTATCATCGACCAATCGTCACAGTAATATCGTCGGAATAATTGGGAATAATTTTTTGAATTTTGAATTTTTTGAATTAAAAATAATATTATAATAAATAGTCATTATTTTATAGCAATAATTTTTAATGATTTGTCTTTCCATTATGCCATATCTTGTTGTAATCTATCCGTCTATACAAAAAAAATGTATAAAATGTTAACAAGATGTTTCACATCTACCAGGCGTCCCGCGACGCCTCACAGTTTTTTTTTTATAATTGTCTTAAAATGAACTTTGTTGTGCACCCATATGGATACACTCTGAGAATTTTTCTCTATAATAATTTTTATTGTCATGAGAATTAATGTAAATTTTTAGTTGTAGAATACAATAATATGTTATAATTTAATAGAAAATGTTGCTGCATAGCAAAAAAATCTCAGTTATAGACAATCATTCCATCTCATTTTTGAAAAAAAATTTTTTTTGTATGTTAGACCATTGATATATATAAGTATATATAGGTTGACTCTTTTAAAATTAGTCACTCTATATCTTTTGAAATAATAACCATGTCAAGAAAATTATTTTATTTACATGGTTATTAATTTATCATGTCCCAATTAATTATTCCAAAAAATGAAAGTAATATTGATAATTTTTTCAGTTTTGGACTATATTAAAAGAATAATTTTTATTATTCATCTAAAATGAGAAAAAATTTAAATTAAATTGTTTTTCTTTTTGAAAAATTATTAACAATTTAATGAAACGTATGAAGGTGAAAAGTGGTTGCTGCTATTTTTATAACTAAACATTTCCTGTCCGCAGTCTTCCTCCTACCTATATATATCAACTGGTGGTAGTGTATTAATGAGGCTATTAGTTTTTTTTTCTATAATTAACATGTGTTAAGTTCAACATATATGAAAAATCACTTCTTTTAGAGAAGAACAAAAATTCCTAATTGATCCTATAATTTGGTAAATATTATTTTTTTAAATTTGTTTCTAATATGACAATATTTGTCAATATGACAATTGTTTCTATTATGACAATGACCTAATCACTGTCAGCTATCAATCAATACTTATCTAAAAAGTACCTCAACTTCACTTTTGTTGTATGCTTACTGTTATTTACAATTTATTTTTATTATTTTTGTATAAAAATTTAATACAATATTTATCAGTAATTTGTGGGGTAATGTTTTATTATTAAAAAAAAACTTTTTATATAGTTTTAAATACAACAAATGGATTACCAGCTGTACCACCAATGGCCCCTCAGCTTCCATCTTCAGGTCATCATCGTACATCTTCTGCCCCTCCAGCACCAGTTCCTCCTCCACCTCCTCCAGGTATTTCTAATCCTCCACCACAACCTCCCCCAATGCCAGGAATATTATTAAGAGCTAATGGCAATGGAGAAATGGAAAATGATACTACTAATAATGATCAAACATCATCATTAGCTGTTCAATTACAGGCAGCTCGTTTAAAACGGACTAATAAGGTAAAATCAAATTATTAATTATAATATTTATGACACCCAATTTTTTAAGTATTATAATGGTATTTAAGCAGCATCCAGCAGAAAACAGTGGCTCTTCTACAAGTAGTGCTAGTAGTGGAGGTAGTGGAAACTATGGCACTCTTGGACGAAATGCTAATGGTCAGACTGGCATGGCATCTATGATGGATGAAATGGCACGCACATTAGCCCGCCGCCGTGCTGCTGTTGAAAAAAAAGAACCAACTGATAGTCCTCAAGTAAGTTGTACTATAACTAATTACAAATTTAGACACAATTTGAAAAAAAAGGATAACTTGATTTCTCCTCTCCTTAATGATACTACTGTACAAATTTTAATTTTTTTCATTTAATTGTGAGGGGCTTCTAGATTTGCTATTTACAATATTTAGATGAATTTAAATGANAAATTTAGACACAATTTGAAAAAAAAGGATAACTTGATTTCTCCTCTCCTTAATGATACTACTGTACAAATTTTAATTTTTTTTATTTAATTGTGAGGGGCTTCTAGATTTGCTATTTACAATATTTAGATGAATTTAAATGAATATAAGAAATTTTGGTGCCCAAATTTGACATCAGATTTTCTCCATTAAATCTAGTTTTTTAGATGATTACTAATTAAGCATTAATTAAACATTAATTCAATCATTATAAAAAACTGAAAATATGATAATTTTGTGAGGTATTCAAAAATGTTATTTTTTCTTTTTACACAATAAATAACTGAGAAAAGCATAATTGTAAATATATTACATATATATTTATTCAAAAAGCTGAAATTTTATTTTTTAATATGGTGTTTTTTATAAGTTTGAAAAAAATTATTTACTGCCATATTTATTTTTTGATGATTGTGCAAATAGTTTCCCATATGACAATAATTCCATAAAAACTGTTAACTTAGGACATATAAGTCCCAAATTTTATACAACTATTTTTTTAAAATCATCAATTCATTTTAAAAAAGTAAAATAAAGAGATTATGCATTAATTTTTATAACAAATTAATAAATGTTATTTTACTAATTAGTAATTATTTCAAAGACTATATGCAATAGAAAATATCTGAAACCATATTTGGGGATTTTGTATTGTAACTCCATATAGCATTTGATTAAATATTGTAGACAAGAGAAAATTTTTCATTATTTGTTATGTTCTGTTAAAATTGAATAGATTTTATGCAAAACTGAGATGGTACTTATTTTGTTAAGGTGTGTATTTTTTTTTATATCTGTCCATAAAAGTCCTTAGCTTTTACTGGGCTAATTTTTATCTAGTTGAATCTGTCATTGTTGGAAAATTCCTAATTAAATTTTATAAACCTATGTAAACTTAAAGATTCTAAAATAAATTACAATATCAATTAAAAATTTTAGAAAGTGTATGTAAAATTACAAATATATAAATTATTGTTAATATTGTAGGTTCACGTCAAAGTGTCTTATATGTAGTGATGTTAATCATTGTAAGATGTCATTTATACTTCCCCAATAATAAATTAATAGTGTCATTCAATTTTTTGGGAAAAATTTTTTAATTATAATATATTATTACTATAAAAAATATTATAAGTACCAATATTTACAATATTTAAAAAATATGTTTATTGTGTATTAATCAATTAAGCAAAATAATTTTTATTATTTAAGAAGTTTACATTAATAACAAGATTGGCAAAATAGAAATTCAATATAAAACTTCATTTTGTTAGATTTCATTTCTTAAAGGATGAATCATTAATACTATGTATGAATGTAGGACGAAAATATTTCACCTGGAGATAAAAAAAATTGGAATCGCAACGATAGTCAAAAAAGCTTATTAAATGGTTGTGAAAGTCCAAAGCTTGGTCGAAAACAATTATCTGCTACATCTACTGAAGATTTAATAGCATCAAAATCTTTTGGGGATAACTGTATGTCAAATTTATCAATTGATCTTGAAACTCTAAAACAAGATATATTAAGAGAAATACGCAAAGAATTAAATAGAATGAAACTAGAAATTATTGAGAGTAAGAATTGAGTATTATTTTATTTTAATTGAATTAATGAATTATATTTTATTTAAGGTGTGAAATTAGAAATTAGTAAAAGATAAGTCAAAGCAAAATCTATGAAGCAGGTATTTTACATATATCCAATCCATTTCAACTTTTGTATTGATTTAATGGCTTGTTCTTTTTTCTATGAATGACAATTTTTTAAGTGAATCTCATTATTATATTGCTGTTATTATTATGATTTAGGTAAACAAATAGATTATTATTGTAAACCTCATAATAATAACTCGTTTATAGCTACTTAATTGACTTAAATTAATTAACTCCTTACATAATTAAATTATTATGTAGCGATTTTTATATATCAAAATTGTTTTATTTATTTATTTATAATGCGAGTGTACTCACCTTATTATTTTAAGTGTGAAAAAATGTACATTATATTTATCAAAAATACATCTATATATATATTAATTTATATGACAAACTATGCTTTATTCATGTATCAACTTAAAATAAGAATTTATTTTTTACTATTGTGTTAATTTCACTGGTCAAGGTACTAAAATTGTATCATTGTCACCTTACAACTAAATCTACAAATATATTTGTATTTTATTTAATGAACTATCTAATAGACTTATTATTTAATGATACTTCTTTTCTTGTTAATCTGTCACGAAGACCGAACCATAAATAATGAGTATGTATAATAATGTTATTAGAGAAACTTGAAATACAATTGGTATAAGTGAAATTTTTATAAAAACATAGTTGAGTTTGGTATAAAGGGTAATTGATAAATCTTGCCACACATAATATCTTAAAATGTATAATAAGACAATTTTTTCTTATCAGATATTAATAGTATTCTGTTTTATAATTAGAAAAAAAATGGTTATCCTCCCTCTCCCCTTTAAAATATTATTAACTTGAGTTTTTTAAATAAATACAAATTTTTCAAAAGTTGTTTTGCTAACCTATCATTTTCTTATTTTTGGGCTAGTTATACACATGTTTTCATTTGAAAAACTTATGCTGATGACACTACTTTAAACGGTAGACAGAAGATAGGACCATTTCTTGAAATTAGACCATAGAATACTATTAACTTTTAAAAAGAAAATATTACAATATCTTTTATTCTTTTAATAATATTGTATGAGGCAGCTAATCAATCATCTTAAATAGTCCAACTGAAATGTTTTAGTTCTATTAGGTAGTAAGTATTTAGAAAAATTATATTTTATTTAATATTAGGATTATCATAAACAGAAACTTTAAAACTTGATTACCTAAAAATTAAAAAATTTCTAATCCTTTTATATTTAATTTTGCATTAAGACAAACGCTTAAATTATTTAAGTATCATATTTGATATATCTTAAATTTTTTTTTAAGAACTATTTTCTTATATCTATTTTAGGCTTCTCAACCCCGTATAAATGTTACAGTTACACTACAAAAATATCAAAAATTTAGCATGCAAAAAGCGTAATAAAAGCTTTATGTTTTTTAGAATACAAATATTTTGTTATTTAAGTCTAAAAAGTTTTTAATCGCAAAATATTTGTGCAATAGTTACAAAATTAGTATGAAAACATGATGGCTTCAATAAATAACAAAGAAGTTTAGGGTAGTAATATAGTCTATATCTGTAATTATAGTTTTTCATGCCAATTTTCTATTATACTCTACTTATTAATATTTTTTTATCAATTAAAATAAAAACAGTAAGATTCATTTAAATAAATATCATAGTTGGCTTATAATTAAACTACATTAAACAATTAAAAACACAATATTTTGTTTAGTCTTATACTTTCTACATACAAATAACATTTAAACGTTTAATTCAAAAATATATTTGGTCTACTACTTAATATTAAACTAATATAATTGTTTAATTAAATAAAAAGCATGCAAAATGATTAAAAATTAAGATATCTTTTGGTATCCAAAAATGGAGATATCTTACAAGTTACATAGAGAAATAAATGAAAATCATATAAAATAAAAAAAAGGTAATCTAGAAAGCTGCATTAATGAGTAAATTATTTATATAGTAAAATTATAAAACAAATTTTTCAAAAAATAAAATACTGCATGGAATTATTATAAAAATATTTATAGACACATAGTTTTATATTTCATTACAATTAAGAGATTACAATTAAATTTAATGCTAAAACAATAATAATTTGTTAACAATTAAAAAAAAAATTCAATTTCTTACTTTCATTAATTATATACAGTTCAGTTCCATCCTTAAATATACATAAATAAGATTTATGGCATTCATTTTAGGCACACGTCTTATACAATTGTAATAAAGATATCTCAAAAACGAGAGGTGTAGCACCAAAGTAAATAACATATAAAATACTATTAGAATTTTTTCCAATGGTATTTAAATTGTAAATATAGAATCATATTTTCCTAATATTTCATTATAAGTACTTTTTTGTATTATTAAAGTAAAATTACACCAAATTATAATAAGTTGAAGTAAAAGGACACATTCAAAATCAAATAATTTATAAAACTAGTGCCAAATAACATAATTTTTAACTTAGTTTACAGATATCACTTGTCAAACTTAAAAAAATACTTTTTGTCAATTGAAGAACATATTTTTAACTTAAACAATAGTGAAAAATTAGACATTAATTCTAATAACAAAATTTAATAAAAATATACAAATGTATTATGTTCAACAATCATAAAGTACATAAAAAAATACATATTTAATAAAATTTTAACATTTCCCAGTAATCGACTTGAGCATTTAAAATTTATCTCAGCCTTAATTTAAAAAGAAAAATGTCATACATTATGAGAACATACTAATTTCATAATCAAATTAATCACAGATCTATGAATAAAAGTGTGGAGGTATTGTTTTTAACATATTAATTAAAAAATTCTATTGAGTTCTCAAATTATTACGAGTATCATAGAAACCATTACTTTCTGATGACAGTTGTGTTACTTTTGTACTACGACGTATTAGAAGTCTTACATATGATCCACCACTATGAATAATATCAATAGCTTCTGAATGAGTCATATTTTTGGTGTTAATACCATTTATTTCAATAATATGATCCCCAACCTGAAAAAAAAACAATAATATTTATATTGTCCATAAAAAAATACCATTTGCTAACATGATTTTTGGATTTGAAAATTAAACTATTAAATAAAACTATCTTCTAAAAAAATGAATATGTTTTTTTTAATTTGAACATTTTACTTAATAATAACACAATTATAAATTATTTTTTTGAAAAGTATTAAAATATTATTTAGTTAGTTTATAATTGATCTATAATTAATCTGAAAATTATAACTAAAATAAATATTAAAACTAAAATTTTCTTTCATATAAAAATTTATTATAAAAAATTACTCTTAATCGACTGTCCAAAGCTGCTGGACCATTTTCTGCAATTTGTAATACAAATAAAGACATATTTTGAAATTCTCGACCACCTCTTATACTAAACCCAAAACCCTGAGGACCTCTTGATAATTCTATAGCATGATACTGCTCTTCTTCTAAATCATGATCCTATATTATTTTAATAATTATTGTATGTTATGAATCAGTTTTAAATCATATTTAAATTTAATTTGTTACTTAAAATTTGTTTACCTTATTAGATATAGGGAGGGACACAGTGCTAGCAGCATCATCTGTTGTTAAAAACAATGCTTTAGAGTTATATTTTGAGATAAAAAATAATTTTATTTTATATTTACCATTAGGTGCCCCTATAGTTAGAGTAACTGTTGAACCCGAGTCTTTAATCATATTAACTATATCTCCATGAGATAAATTTGTAATATTTGTGTTATTAACTGCCAGAACATGATCTCCTAAATGTATATGCCCATCGTTAAAAGCAGGACTACCTTCAATTATTCTTCCTATGTTAATGAATAAATAAATAAAATATAAGAAATAAATACAAAATAAATATTGAATAATTTATTATTTACCAATAGTAGGTCCTTTGTTCAATGATGAAATCACAACAAATCCAAAGCCTTCTTGATCTCTTTTAGTTAACGTAACATCATAAGGATATTGTACATCAATATGTTGCTTTGGTGGAGCTAAAATACCTGAGGAAAAAATTAACTAAAATTAATGTATAGAATTGTGTAAAAATCATAATTTTTAAAATACAAATTAGAGTTGATTAGAAGTAGCAGAATATATTTAGACTAAAAAAAATTTTTTTTTTTTTACAAATAAAATTATATAAAATCAAAAACATTGAAATATAATTTAATTTAACTTACAATTAAGTTTTGAATCTGGTTTAATGTGATTGATACCTAAGGTTACACTACCATTACGAGCTGCTTGTCCCATTAAATTGATAACATAATCATGTGATGTATTTAAGGTAGATTGACCATCAATGCTAATAATTTCATCGCCAGTCATTATACGGCCATCAAGATCAGCAGACCCTCCAGGAACAATATGTCCAACTGACACCTAAAAAACATATATATGTAAACAGTTATTCTTTACATAGATCTTTAAAATTTCAAATACTACTTGTGAGCCTTCTTCTTTACCACCAACAATACGAAAACCAAAACCACATTCTTGTCTTTGAAGGGTAATGTAACTAACACTTGGTTTTACACCTTCTTGATTAAATTGGCTTATTTCATTATTATTATGTAGATATCTAAAAATCAGAAACGTAATGTAATTAACTCTCTATGAAACTATCAATAGTGTTTATAACAAAAAAAATTAAATACAGTTGGGATCCTGAGTAGTGGAGTTGGGACATTTTTTAGATAAGTATTGATTGATATCTAATAATAATTAAAATCACTGATGTAAAATGCTTCATTGTGTAAATTAAATAAATATATTAAATTTACAAAAAATTACATGAATTTTGATTTAAGAGGCTGATTATTTGTAATATCAATAAAAATGTTGGAATAATCCGTTCAAATTTAAATAGTTATTATTATATCTATATCAGTTGTTACAACTTAATTTCTAGGCTTCAATTAGATTAATAAAAATGCATACTGACCGATGATGTATTCAAAGTAACTTAGCAAAATTTATTATATGTATATATTTTGTACTCCATTATAAAAAATAAAATAATATATTATGCATAGTACTGAAATATACCAGGCAGTAATATATAACCAAAGAGAAATTTAAGTAGCTTGTGTGTATAAATTTATAATATTTGTCTGTGTTTTTATATATATTATAATTTATAAATTCTATAATATGCATTATATATATACTACATCTCTAGTGTTGTCATTTTACTCAAAAATTATTATAGTTTTCCTATTAAAATGTACAGACGACCCGCTTTAAATAAAAAGAACTGGTCACGCAATTCAAAAAATAAATTTTCAAAAAAAAAAAATTGTCATAAAATATTTTAACTGATAAATTTAAATTCTTACCTCACTTCATTTTTTGAAGCATTTAGTTCATAATGTTCATAACTCATATTTTGGATGGATTGGGATAATTGATTAGTATAATGCTGTGGTTGTTTTGTATTTACATAGTGTCCATTAGCATGATTGATAACACCATTGTACATAGTGTTTGGGCTACAAATCTGAGATGATGATGAATTAATTTTAACCCAGTTATTATCATTGCGGTGATGATAATTATCAAGAGTTAAGCTGTTGTTAGTCATTACATATGTATCTTCAGAACCATTTTCAAGTCTGTTATTTTGAATTGATATTTGGGATCGATTATCATTGATTGGTGTCTTAGATCTATTGGTCATAGAATTATGGGCACGATCACCATAGTTATCAAATGAAGGTGTTTTACTCCTATAAATAGTAGTTTTACTATCAATTTTTTTGTTTCTCCCTCTAAATTTTTCTGGTGAATTATGAGCATAGCGTTGAATTATAATTGAAGCAGCTTCATTAATTTGACAGTCTTTTAATACTTGCACTACTTTATTATGAGACATATTACGAACTGATATGTTATTAATATCAATAAGAATATCTCCTTCCATTAATTCTTGACATCTTTGTTTATCTAATATCTTTTTAACTTTTTGTCCATACGCACTATCAGCAATAGTAAATCCAAAACCCATGACTCCTTTAACAATAGTCATTGTTAAATATAATGGCGATGGTAGATGTTCTTCCAAAATGAGATCTGTACTACTAGGTCTAGTAACACTCATAATTTCTTCTGGTGCATACAAATCAGGCATTGACTTGACAGATTGATTGCACAAATCGTTAACAGTAGATCTAGTATCTATTTTCATCATGTATAGCTCTCTATCCACATATGATAAGTCATCAAGCTGCCTTCTATCTACTGTAACAACCAAAATTTAATTTTTAATATTAAAATTAAAAAATGGAACTATTTAATAATTTATAAGAAAATTTTACTAAGAGTACTAATATTTATAAGTTTTAGTAAAATGTGTTTTTTGGGATTTTTTATTATTTACTTTTACTTTTTACATTTAATATATAAACTTATTTTCTATGTGACTCTAATATAAAATAATTAAAATTGTTTCTATTCCATAATTTAAATTCTGTTAATTAAGTTTAAAAATAAAAGTCTAAAAGATTATTTAAACATTTAATTATTTAGAAACTATAGTAGATATTTTTACAGTCAACAAGAATTGTATTTTATTATATTCATGATTTTTCCTGACATTTCAAGGATCTATAATTATGGACTGAATTAGTAATTTTATGCAGCATTGTTATATTGCACAAAGTGTTCTGGTAAAATAGTTTATCAAAAAATATGAAAATTTATACTATAAGTAGATACAATTAGATTGTATCCGCTTAAAAAGGAAAAAAATTATTTACTTTTAAAATAGCAAGGTTTTGAAATTAGTTACAAATAAAAATATATAGTCTAGATTAAGTACTTTATTATTAAATTAGCTAAGTGGATTTATTTATTTAAATAAACCACTGCTCTAGCTACATAAAAAATAAATAAATAAATAATAGTATTTATTAAATATACAAACCAGTATTTCCAACAGCAACTGTTGTAACAACTTCAGTATTAGGATCATTAGGATCAAAAGGTAATGGGTAACCTCTACATACTTCTAAACATACAGTTTCTCCCGGAGCAATCGCTTGAAATACACTTACCATATCATGATGTGTGTAACCTAATACACACTTATCATTCACATAAACTAGAACATCTCCTGACATAAAAAAAAATGCATCAAAATGAGATTAAATACCCAAAATATTATTATTAAAAATAATAATTAATACCCATTTGCAGTTTTCCTTCTAACCAAGCTGGTCCATTTGGAACAACTGATTTAATTTGAAGAAATTCTTCTTTTGTATCATCACCTCCAACAATGGTAAAACCTAAGCCACGGATTGATTTTACAAGAGTTGAATGAATTCTTTCTCCAACCAATTTATGAGGATTTGTGGTAAATAAATTGCTACTTAATCCAGAATCTATAAATAAGGTCATTATCATCCAATAAAATGTTTAAATGCTTAATGAATTTAAGAAATACACATACCTCGCTTAACAGAATTTATATTTTCTGAGCTGCTACAATTAAAATTAGTTATATTATCTTGTTCATTAGACATATGATCTCCTAAAATTTATATAAACATATTTTTATAACTTAGTTATTTAAAAAACTGTATGTATAAAATATAATTATAATTATAGGACTATAATTATCCTATATTATATAATCAAATAAAAAAAAATGTATTTTAAATAAAACATACCATGATGATTCTTTGCATTTTTTGCTTGGAGTACTGGATTTTCATATTGTGTTTGTCTATTTACATGATCTATATAATAGGTACCATAAAGTGGGTCATCAATCCTTTCCCAACCATACGGTAGTTCGTCATCAGAACAATCTTCTAATTGTTTTTTTTGAAATTTGGATAATCTAGGATCTAGCCAATGTGATGTACTTGAATTATGACTAAAAAATAATATAAATAATTAAAATTGCATATAGATTGTTTTTATGAATAAAATAATTTACAAACCATAAAATAAAAAATTATATTTACACATTCAAATTCAGTCATTCTTAATAGGTTTTTTAAAAGAAAATAATATTGTAAATTTAAACTGTACACAAATTATTTTTAGTAGAATAAATAATAATTTTACAATTGACTTTATGTTATTGTAAAAATGGTATTATAGTTATTGTTTAATTTCATTAAAAGTTTATAAAAATTGTAATAAATTTCAACAAATTTTTCTAAGAAATGTTTTAAAATTAATTTAAAAAATATATAATTCAAACATTAACAAATTGTAAAACTCACAAGACTATTTACTATGCACATCCTGTTGGGAAATTTAACAAAAAAAAATTATTTTTGAAATTGTAAAAATTATTTAAACAAGTTCATTATATTTAAACCTAATTAAATCTGTGATAGTTTCAAATTTTGACAGAAAATACTAACTCTACTAAAATGTATATGATAAATAATTTCAATATAATTAAAATTGTAATTTTAGTCTTTTTTTTTTTAAAAAAAGAAATTCTTTTAAACATATCTAGACGCATAAAAATAAATAATAATAAAGTTACTTCATATGAAAAAACAAATGTTAATGGAATAAATTATTGAAATAATAAAAAAATATTTTTTTTTAGTTTGGTCAATTTTACCCCCAAAAATTGGAGATAAATTGAATAAATTCAATCACTTAAATCATACTTTAATACCTAAAATATGAATTCAAACAATTATTTTATATTAATATCACATTAATAAAAAAAAAAAAAACCAGCACAGGGGGTCACAGCACAGTGGTGACGTAGCATAGTTAGATCCAGTATAATGATATCTGACAGTGATTAAAATCACTATAAAAAAAAAACGCTTCGATGCAAATCTTTAGATAGTGTTTAATTTTGAAAAATTGATGGATTATTCCAAAAGCTACATGATCTGCTAGTTCCTTATTAATATCCTGATTAAGATAAAATATGTCGAATGAAAAAGGGATTATTAAAAAATATTATTTCTTATAAAAAAATTGTGTTAATCCATACACTTTTCAATAAGTTAAAGCATTATAAAGTTAAAAATGTAAAATATAAAATCGAGAATTTTCACACAAAAATAGCATTCGGTAGCCATTTTTACCATGAAGACCAAATAAAGACCGAAATTTTTTTTTCCATAATAAAGTACATTACATTAGCTTTAATTTAAAATATATATAAAAGTGCCAGACTTTCCGGAACACTTTCAAAAGTTAAGTTGAAAAAGTAAATTTTTTGTGAAAAAGTTGTCATTTTGAATCCCCCCCTGTAGGTTGGTAAAAGGTTAAATTTATAAAAAAAAATATACCAAATGATAGGTAAAGACATCAAGCATCTATAAAATAAAAATTATATTGATTTGTTCATTTTTGAAAAAGTTATGGCAGTTTTAAGTAAAAAAAATTTCGAAAATTTCGAAAATTAGCAATTATTAAATTTGTAATTTTTTGTAGGTTTCCCCCATTTACGGGGAACGAGGGAATTTTTTTCAATTTTTGAGAGTAATGTCTTTAAATAGATACGATTTGTGATCTTTTTGACGTATCATTGAAAGAAATCGGTCTGGTGAGAGTTGAGAAAAAGTGGTAACAGACACACACAAAAAAAAAAAAA